AGCATCATATCTTTTAGCCTTTTGTTTCTGATCACGGGGCATTCTTGGCAAAGATACTGGAGTGGCATTGCCAGTTCCTACTCCAGGTGGATTGCGTTTAGTCGGAACTCTCCACTATGTCCTGTCCATCTTGGGTGTCCCTCCATGGCATAGCCCATAGCTTTTCTGAGTTACTCAAGCCCCTTCGCCACGACAAGGCAGCAATCCATGAAGGGGCTTCTGCCACTAGAAGGGGATATTTTTTCTTTTTTTCCCTTAGGTTCAGGAAACGAGGAGGAAGGCAGGGAACAGTTTGCAAAGCACTTTAGAAATCTTTTTTTTTCAACGAAGCCAATTTTAAATCATGTTTTAAAGCATGTTGTGCTGATTTTTTTCAGCACAAAGACACACAGGCAGGCTTTTTAGGTGATGAGCAAGCGTCCCCAAGCCTCTTCAGAGCCAGCCCATAAGCTGACAGGCGGGGGGAGGAGGGAGCAGGAGCGGGGGAAAATCACAAAATGGCTGCCAGGCTCCCTTCTGGGTGTCAGCTTTTAGCTGTTTCCTGCTCTTTTTCCTGCTGTTTGGGGGCTACCAAGGCCTGGTAAGTGACTTTCTTTTATTTATTTTTAAGTTTCTGACCCTTCCCGCCCCCCCATAAGCCTCTAAGGGAAGGAGGGGGCACTTTTTTTCCTGTACATAACTCGAGGGAAGTTCGTATGTCGAGACCTTATTTCCCGTATAGGGCGGGTTCGTAAGTTGAATTGTTCGCAAGTAGGGTCGTTCGTAAGTCAAGATCCCACTGTATTAGAATTAAACACTGGGGTAATAGACTTCACATACCTGTGTGTAAGTACAATTCTTCTTCTTGCATTTGCCACATGTAAATAGATCAGTCTGGGTTCCTCCCGTTTTAGCCATTTGATGTTCCCTTATAGCTTCTTTGGTAAGATTTTTCCTCATTTCTTTCAGTTCATCACTTGCCATCTCCTGTTTAAACGCACAGGTAATCATATTGCTGTGAAACCTTTTCAATGTGTATTAATTGAAAAACCAACACAAAATTACCGTATTTTTCGCTCCATAAGACGCACCTGTCCATAAGACGCACCAATTTTTTAGGAGAAGAAAACAGGAAAATATAATCTGTTTTCTTCACTCCATAAGGCGCACAGACTTTCCACTCCCGTTTTGTGGGGAAAAATGCGTCTTATGGTGCGAAAAATACGGTAATTAAATGGCTACCTCTTACTCATCATCTTTACTCCTGCGGTGGCAAACCCAAATTAATGCACTGAAGATAATGTACTGACTCCATAAATTAGCTTGTTCACCATAGTCTTAGATTATGAATCTGAGTTCTTATTTTTCCTCATGGAAGCGTGAAAATTTTTTATTCTCATTGCCATAAGGTTTAGTGGCAGTGTATGGGAATAATTCCCTCCTATCTGCATGGCAATCCCAAATGAGTTACTGCTGTTCTGAATGATATTTTCTTAGTACACACTTTTTTCATGTATATATTCTCTAATATCCATATTTTAATAAACTGCAATGGGAAACTATCAGAAAATATGAAGTTTCTGTATATTGAAGAATAGCTGCATTTGGACCACATATCACTCTCATTAAAATGGGAACAAATTAATTTTTTTTCTGTCCCTACAGAAAGCAACTTAATATACCAGACTAAAGGCAAATTCCTAGGTTAAATCACATTGTCTGAAATCACTAATTGGGATATCACCAAATGTTGCAACCAAAAATGGACGTACTCAGAATCATCTTAAGAAAGAGGAAAACCATTTCACTACACTACAGAAAACTAAGAGGCTCACATTTTGATAATACCTGTTCTTTGGCTTGTCTAGCTGAGTATACTAAGCTGTCTACATTGACTGGAATATCAGTTTCACAAGCAGAACATTACCAAATGCAGTATTTCTGCTGTTATCCACTGCCAGTGTTATTTTCTTCACAACTATCAAGTCAATCTCTCATCACTAGGCTCGAAGGTAAAAACTGTTAATATTTCCAACATTAACACATTTGATTCCTCTGCTAACTTCTTTCATACTTGGATTTACTCTTATATACTCTTCCTCCTCCCTGCTCGCTTTTAATTGAATCTGAAGTCTTCAACCCACATCCACCACTTCTCTCCACCCCTCTGCCCCTGCTCCTCTTTACTCAAACCTGGTGTCTGCTTTTTGTCTCCTGGAAGTACCGTATTTTTCGCTCCATAAGACGCACCTTACCACAAGACGCAACAAATTTTTAGAAGAAAACAGGAAAAAAATTGTTTTCTTCTCCTAAAAACTGGTGAGCCTTATGGAGAGGTCCATCTTATGGAACACACCCTAGGACCCTTTGGAGGCCCGCCCTACCCCCCCGGGGGTCAGAGGGGGCAAAATCGCCACCTTCTGGGACTCTTCAGAGGCTTCCCAAGTCTCAAAAGATTCCCAGAAACTGGCAATTTTGCTGGTGCTGGCCCGGTGCGGGGGTGGGGGGAGTGTGGCAAGGGTCCGAGGGAGCCTCCCAGGACCCTTGCCATGCCCCCCCCCCCCGCACAGGGCCAGCACCGGCAAAATCGCCAGCTTCTGGGAGTGTTTGGAGGCTTGGGGAGCCTCCAAACACTCCCAGAACCTGGCGATTTCACCAGTGCAGGCCCCGTGGAAGGAGCATGGCAAGGGTCCTGGGAGGCTCCCTCAGACCCTTGCAATGCTCCCCCCCACGGGGCCAGCAGCGACGAAATTGCTGCCTTCGGTCCTACATTTTTTTTGGGGGGGGAAGTGCGTCTTATGGAGCAAAAAATACGGTAACTCTCCAAGATTTCCACCATGAATCTTTACCAATCCTAACTGAAGAAGTCTAAGACTGAATCTCAGAACTGCCTGCATTGATATAAGGTCCTTCCTATGGCTGTGGAGATTTTAAAAACATGGAGATCTTTCTATACAGTTGATTTACCTTCTGGAAGGAACTAAATCATACATGTATGAACATCCTTTTATATTCATTTCGAAAAAGATAAATCAAAATGTTTTTGGTCTTTGAAATACATGTACAAGACTACAAACCTTTGCCTTATAAAATACTTACATGCAGGCAAAAAGATATAAACATACATACAGTGGTGCCCCGCTTAACGATTACCCTACTTGATGATGAATCCGCTTCACGACGATGTTTTTCCGATCGCTATTGCAATAGCAAAACAATGTTTTAATGGGCAAAATCCGCTTTGCAACGATCAGTTCCCTGCTTCAGGAACCGATTCTTCGCATCACGACGATCAAAACAGCTGATCCTCGAGTTTTCAAAATGACCGCCGGCTGTTCAAAATGGCTCCCTGCTGTGTTCAGGACAGATTTTTCACTGCACAGGCATCAGAAAATGGCCGTCCTATGGAGACAGCGATTTCGCTGGAACTGATTATCCTCGTCAAGCGAGGCACCACTGTAATTGTTTCTAGCTACCAAGCTTATAGTATATCAAGATAATAATATCTGATCCAAAATACCCAACTCCCACAGTGTGGTACTGCACTCAAATCTTAATTTAAGAAAACAAAGTAAGTTGCTTACCTCTGCTGTCATTTTAGCAAAACTATCTGGAGGAATATTCCCACATAATACATTTTTTCTCAGATTAGGATTCTTTGTGTCTTTAAGATTTGCTATTCTGCTGCGCACTCTGTTTTTGTATTTCATGTCAGTGTTTTTTAGCTCCTGAAATATAGGTGTTTATGAGTTAAGGACAACAGTAATATTACTGGTATAAAGTTTTTACTCTATTCCTATAGAAACATTTCCAAAAATTCACCTGACAATTCACACTTGCTTCTTCTTTTAACTGAAACCAGCATTTTAAACATACAAACTCATCTCAAGAGAGGAATCTAACTATAATGATGAATTGGAATATAAGGATACTATGGAAAAAAAGCACAAATATGGCAAGTACTGGCTATAGTACATAAAGGATGCTTCTGTCCTGTCCAGTCTCTAGGTGAAATAAATGAAAACTTCAGAAGATGAGAGGTTCAGAAATTGGAATATTATATGAGAGCCAGTATGGCATGGGAAAAGATCTTCCAGCCTTTGGGACAAATAATTCATCTTGCAGAATTTGCTCACTCAGCCCACACGAGGGCCTCAGGAAGAATCTCCCTCGCCCGACCCACCTTGTCTAATGCCGCACAACCTGTAGGGATATGATTCCCTCACATACCACTTGCATTCAAATTTGTCCCAGGAGTTGGAGACAGGGATGTGTGCTTCATCTGGTTTCCAAAAGTGAAACGATTTCCTATGCCTATGGTGTAGCATGATGAACAGAGTATTAAACTCTGAATAAATGCTATTTGTGACTGACATACTCAATGAAACCAACTCTAATCCACCATACAGGGATATTTCAAGGACAAAATTGGCAAGTTCTATGGCATATGAAACTTCATGAAGTAAGGATGGGATACAGAAGTCTTACGATGAAGCCCATACTTCTAGAAAGTACATCCATCTTTGATAGCAACTTCTATACAACTTTTTTGCAGGCAGTGTGGTTCATCAAAATCTTTAAGAATATGTTTGATAAAGATTACAGTATATGCAATTAATCAACTGTTGGCAGCTGTGAAGCATAAGTTAAACATATTTCAAAGAGAACAAACAGCTTATTAAGCTATACAGTCTCTCATTAGACAGGAAAGGATATCCTCTTCAATCTGAGATCCCAGCTCTTCTTCATCGGCACCAATAGCAATGTAATCATCTGAAAAAGAAGTCATTTACATAACTGCTAATACTTTATATTAGAAGTAAAATTATTTAAATGTGTTTGCACAATAATGGTTGTAGGGATATGTAAAATGGCAGCATAATATATAGTATTTAAGCATGGGTATCCTCTACTGTTGCAATGGACTCCAGGAACACTAATATAATAAAAAACAACCCCAGGTATATGGATTCATGGATATAATTCTCAAATTCAGAATCACTGGTTTGGGGAAGGGGCACTTGAAAAAGTTACCTAAAATCAACTAATAACTTTAACAAGTTGCACCAAGGAACACTAAAGCTGAATAAAAAATTCAGGAATATGATGAATTAAATATGCTAATATGAAACTATAGTGAATTCACAGCAGTAAAAACTCAAGATGATTCATTTTTGTAGTACAATTCCGGAATCATGTTATATTCTTAAATATGCAATGCTGTATATATTTTATTCCTGATGTTCCACAATTTCTCATCTTACTTGCTTGGAAATGTAGACATAATTGCCGCTTCACAATAAAATCCTTTCCCACACATACTCAGAATTCAGTGGGACTTAGTGTCTGATATGTGGGTATAGGATGGCAGCTTTAATAGCCAAAATTTGATTGGCTGAAATCCTGTACCATAGATACATAGGCATAATTTAACGTATATCCATGGTAGCTAGAATGCTGCCAAGGGAAATGTGCTATCTACAGAAAACTTCTACCAGTGATCTGTTACAACTGTTGCAACAGTAACAATGGGAATTGTACAAAGTGACTGAGCAATCAAATTGCATGAGTCCATTGTCTCAGCATAATGGCTGGCAAATTTATTCAGGTACAACTTTACATTACAATACACAAACAGGATTTCAGCCTTAAGTTTTTACATCATTATAATGCAACTGGCATAAATTTCAGTGGTGAACTGCCAGTAGGCATAGACAAATTGTTTTTTATTGAGCAAATATCTTAACTTGTGGCAATTCAACAGAGTTTTATGCCAATTATGTTATACTACTCGGTGTAAGATTTTGGCAGGGCTGCTGAAGATATGAGTAATCCTTGGTTATCAATATTGATTCCAAAAATATTAAAATCTGAATTCACGAATGCTAAATATGCTCACTGGAACATCTGGTTACTTCAAAAAATAATTCATTTATATTCTGCAATGAAATTCATTACTACTAAATGACTAAATATACTACGAAATGACTAGATAGGTGGGGTATAAATACAATAAATAAATAGAATAAATACTTATTTTAAATTAAACTTACATTTTAAATGAATTAAAATTTAAGTAGAAAAATCATAGCATCTTAATGAAAATGTATATAAAGACTTTTAAAAACTGTATAAGTACAGTGGTGCCGCGACTTACGAACGTCCCTACTTACGACCATTTCGAGTTATGACCATCTCCAGTCACAAAATTTTGCTTCTACTTGCAACTGGAGCTTCCACTTATGAAGAGAAAAAGGCAGGGAAAAAAGGTCGGAAATTCAAATTTCTAACTGTAGGTGGCGATGAGGCTGCTTCTTTGTAGCTCTTTCGCCCCAGCAGCTAGAGAGTGTGCGTTGGAGGCTTGGGACTGCCTCACTTCTGCTTCTGAGTGAGCGTGTGTGTGTGTTTGCAGGGAGGCTTCGGGCTGCCTGGTAATGGGTTTTGAGGGGTTTGTTGGCTCCCCCATTCCGATGGGTCTTGGGGGTTTGTTTGTATTTTGCTCCCCCCCATTTCTGATGGGTCTTGGGGGGTTTGTTTGCTTTTTCCTTTGTTTTCTTTGCATTTCCGAGCTGCCCCCTTTGTTCTCTGTGCATTTCCGATCTGTTCCATTTGTTTTCTGTGCATTTCCAATGGGTCTTGCACGCTTGATTGCTTTTCTCTCTTCCCCCCCCTCGGCTGGAAGGGATTAATCGCGTTTCCAATTAATCTTTCCGTGATTTTTTTTTTTTTTGGTGATTTTTGTCTTTGGCCAGAACAGATTAATTGCAGTTCAATGCATTCCTATGGGAAATGGTGCTTTGTCTTACGACCATTTTGAGTTACATTCATCTTCTGGAATGGATTATGGTCATAAGTCGAGGCACCACTATAGTCATGTGACATTAAACTAAGCTGCTTCTAATTTCTTCTCACCTCAAAAATCCAGTAAATTCAGCTACTTTTCAATTTCAGCTGTGTTATGACTGTCACTGTTTGTACTGCTGCACTTTTCCTGTTGATCAACAATTTCTCATCTGAATTATTTAACTATTCTTCAGTATAATCCATCTGGACCCAGTGGCTATTTAATTTAACTTACCGAATAAACATCTTTCCCTTATCTCTCTTTACACAGTTTACTCAATCTTTCAGAGCCTCCTCCCCCTCATTTTAGGTATAGTAATATACACAGTATTTTCCACAGTGAAGACAGGTTCTTTGGACTCTTACTGTGCTTTGCCAATCTTTCACTCCTTTGCTGTTTAATGTTCTATGGCATTTCTATCTGGTTTCTTACTGCAATATACTTCATGCAAGCCCAAAGCAATTTTTGTTTGTAGAAAGTTATTTCTTAGTTGTGAAGTTATGGTATTTTCAAAGGAATTCAAAGGTTAAACTTCAGTTGCAATTACTAGCACAAAGCTGAGAAAAGTGATTTAAAAACTCACTGAAGAGTATTCTCACTATTACAGGGTTATAAAAAGCATTCTTGCTTCCCTGACAGACCCATACTGTATGCTGTAAACAACAGGTTACCCACCTGTAATTCCAGTTCTTCGAGTGGACCTTTGTGATTCATGCCCTGGGTGATCCGTGCCTACGTGGAGCCTCATCAGAAAGTTCTAGAGCTTCTGTAGAAGCAAAAAACACATTAGAGTAAGGCCCCTCCCCCCTCGTATAAGTACCTTGGCGCCAAGGTTCCCCTTTCAGTTGCGTCAACTGCCGCTAAATTAAGTAGAATGGTGTGACAGTGGGGAGGACAAGCAGGATGTGTGAATCACAGAGGTCCACTTGAAGAACTACAATTACAGGTAGGCAACCTGTCGTTCTTCTTTGTGGCCTCTGTGAATCACACCCTGGGTGACTAAAAAGCTGTCTTACCCAGCGGCAGGGTGTCATGCCAAGGTAGAGGCTAGAACAGCATGTCCAAAGGCCACATCAGACTTTTGCCAAAGATCAAGTCTATAATGCCAGATGAAATTGGACGGCTGTGCCCAGGTGGCAGAGGTGCAGACGTCTGGAAGAGGTACGCTGTGTAGGAATGTCATAGAGGTCACCATTGCTCTGTTGGAGTGAGGGCGAATCGCCTTCAGGACTGGTTTGCATGCCAGCTGATATGCGAGGTGAATGGTTGAAGCGACTGCTCTAGATATAGTTTGAGACATCACCTGGCAACCTTTAGTAGGTGGTTGGTGACTTATGAAAAGTCGAGGTGAACGCCTGAAAGGTTGGGTGCCTTGGACATAAAAGGTAAGGGCTCGCCTAACGTCTAAAGTATGAAGGATTCTTTCTTGAGTTGTGGACGGTGACAGGAAGGAGGAAGGAAGGATAAACAGCTGAGAGAGATGGAACTGAGATACGACTTTGGGAAAGAAAGAAATATTTATGGATAGTTTTACTTTGTCTGGAAAAAACTGTAAATAAGGATAGTCGGCGTAAGGCTGCTAAATCACTAGCTCATTGAGCTGAGGTGATGGTGACGAGGAAAATTGTTTTCAAGTTAAGTAGCTATAATTCAGTTGAAGCTAAAGATTCGAATGGAGCTTTAGTGAGTTGTTGCAGTACTAGTGTTAGTGACCATTGTGGGAAAGGCGAGTATCTGGGTAGATATGAGATATTCCTTTAAGAAAAAGTTTCAATGTTGGATGCTTAAAGAAATCAGCTGCTGGAGAGTTAGGGGGCTGATAAGAAACTACGGCAGAGAGGTAAACTCTCAAGGAAGAGAGGGAAAGGCTGCTAGACTTGAGATGAAGCAAAAAATGTAGAACAGTAGCAAGTGATGGGTTGATAGAAGGCAATGAAAAAGCTTCAGTGAAAGATTTGAATCTGTTCCATTTATACAGGTAATCCTTTCTAGTGGAGGGCTTCTTTCATTGACAGAGGACATTCATTAGTGAGATAGAATCCTCCACGCTGCCAGGTGCAGAACAGGTAAGTCTGGTGGAGTACTTGGACATTGCTGTGTGAGGAGGTGGGGCAGGCGAGGGATGTGGTGAATGTCTGATGAAGGACTGGAAACCAGGGTTGTCTCAGCCACCAAGGGGCTGTAACAATGGCATCAGGTTTGTCTTGTTGTAGGCGAACCACAGCCTTGTGGAGAAGCGGGAATGGCAGGAAAAGGTAAGTGAGGGTCTTGGGCCATCAGCCGACGAATGCATTTTCTTGAGTGTGTTTGCTAATGCGGCTCGGGAGCAATATTGTTTGCACTTCCGATGCACACAGGAGGTGAAGAGGTCAAGAGTTGGTTTGCCCCATTGTTCGCACAGGCGAAGAAAAACTGATTGGCCCAACTCCCACTCGTGAGCTGGAAAGTTGGTGCAGCTGAGTAGATCGCCCAAGTCATTGTCATGGCTGGCAATGTTTAAAGCCATGAGGCAGATATGATGGGCTAGGTACCACTCCCATAAGCCGACCGCTAAATAGAGGAGACTTGGAGAGTGGGTGCCACCTTGTTTCAGAATATACATCGCCGTGGTGTTGTCAGTGGCAATTTGTACCATCTTGCCAGCGAGGAGATTTCTGAAAGCTTTGCAAGCTTTTATAACCGCCAACAGTTCTAATTCACTGATGTGAAGCAATTTCTCTCTGGAAGACGACTTGGTGTGGATTTTGAGAGATCTGCAGTGAGTTCCCCAGCATGTGAGGCTGGCGTCAATGGTGACCTGTATTTGTGGTCGTGGTTGTTGGAACAGCCACCCAAGGTTGGGAGGAAAACGCCACCACTGAAGTTGGGAGGCAAGTTCTGGGGTGGCCCTTAAAAGAGTGTGAGGACGGTCTGTGAGTGGGTTGAGGAGGCCAGAAACCACGACTGAAGAGATTTCATCTTGAGATGGAAGTGCTGCACTACTGAAGTCATAGAGGCCATGGTACCTAGTACACGTTGCACAGTCAAGGTGGGTACCATAGCATGAGGGGTAAAAACTTGAAGTAATGTGAAGAGATTTTCTCTCTTGTCTGGAGGAAGAAAGGCGCGAATTTGTGTGGAATCTATGCATGCGCCTATAGAATTAATAATCTTTGTAGGCTTCAAATTTGATTTTTGTTCACTGACAGCAAGACCGAGATCGCGAAGGAGGGTAAGTGTGAAGTGTCTCGTTGGACCTTGCAACAGGAATGAGCTATGAGGAGCCAATTGCTGATATATGGAAATATGAGAATTTTTTGTAAACTGAGGTAAGCAGGTACTGGTGCTATGCACTTGGTGAATACTCTTGGAGCTGTTGCAAGGCCAAACTGAAGGAATTTTCTGTGTGAAGGATGTATGGAAATATGGAAGTATGAGTCGAGATCTGTGACAAAGAACCAGTCATTTTTTGGAGTAAAGGGAGAACTGATTTGAGGGTAACCATATGGAGTTTTGTGGTAATTATGTATCTGTTTCACTCTCATAGGTCTAGGATAGGGTGAAGACCTCCGTCCTTTTTGGGTATGATGAAATAGCGAGAGAAAAACCCTTTGTTGTGTTGTGAGACGGGTTGTTAATTTGAGGAGTAAATTTCTTATTTCCTCTTGTAGGGTTGGAGATGGTGGAGTGATGATGTGTGCTGCTGGAGGAAGTTGGAAAAAATGGATGCGGTAGCAGTCGCGGATGATGGACAGTACCCAGGCATTTGTAGTAATGGATTCCCAGACAGGTAGATGTTTCCAGAGGGTAGGATGGGTGGAGTGGTGTGCGATCTCGGTCATGGGAGCGTCAAATGTGATGTTTGGACTTGCGGTCGTTGAGCCTAGTAATGGGTTGTTGGCGGGTGTTACGGTAGCTTGGAAGCCATCTGTCCGTCATTGCTGTTGCGGCATGTCATCTGCCAATAGCATGACGGAAGGTGGGACATAAGGGGTGGAGCCAATGTATATAAGGGGAGTGAATGGGTATGAGTGCTTTAGATAGGGACCAGATAGGGACCAGATAGGGACTGGTTAGGGACCGGTTAGGGTGTTAGGGTTTGTTCCTATTGTGGAGAACTGTGCTATACAGTGAGGGTCTGTGAGAGTGTGTGTGAGTGAGTGATACTTTCTTACATTGATTGCCTTATTATTTGAGTTTTTAAAGTGATTTACCATTCCTTTTGTTGTAACCAATAAACACAAGTTTTTATTTTCAAAATCATTTATTAGTCTGAAGAGTCATTGAGGGAATGGTTGGTGGCAGCGTGAATAAAGTGAGTGTGTGAGAGTGACATGGCACCTCCTTTGTGACGTATGAGGAGGCTGTCACAGCGGGTTTATTTGATTTCTGAAATAGGCTGTATAAGATGTTTGCTTTGGAGGATCACATTGGAATTTTTGATATGAGTTGTAGGGTTGTCTTGACTGATTTTGTTGGCGCCATTGTTGGTAAGATGGATAAACTCCCCAATGTCTAGCTGATCTTTTCTTTTGTACGTTTTCCAAAATATAAAATCAGTCTCAGCATTAAAGAGGCCTGCCCCATCGAATGGAAGGTCTTTGATATGGGCGCGGGCATCCTCAGCCAGGCCAGCTGTCCTTAGCCAAAAGAAATGTCGTAAGGTTACTGAAGTGGCCATTGACTTTGCTGTGGCATCTACCATGTCCCTAGCAGAAAGCATCTGTTGTTTGGCAACGGAAAGACCTTCTTGTTGAAATGTTTGGGTGAGTACTTTATCTTCTGACAAAGATTGGCATATTGTCCCAAAGGAAACGATATGCACCCATGGCTCCCTGGTAGTTAGCAACATGCATGGTGAATGCTGCTGATGAATAAAGCCATCTTCCTAGCGAGTCAATTATTCTACTGTCTTTATTTGGTGGTATGAGGGTCTGTCGAGATGTGGATTGTGAGGCTTTGACAAAAATAGTTTGGAGTTGGTTGTTTTTGAAGAAACAGAGCTCCAGGATCATGGACTCTATAGAGGATATTGATTTGTTTAGACATGGTATGGGGAGAGGCTGGTTTTGTCTAGGATCATTGAGCGCTGCTAAGTAGAGATGGAAGCATCAAGATGTGTACTGGAGTAGTTGTATCTTTAGAGACTGGGTTGTATGGATGATCAGCTGGTTCTGTCGAAGGACAGTGAATTTGGAGATTGAGATACTTAGCCATATAGATCATAAATTGGAAGGACGGTGGATTTGGAGATTGAGAGACTTAGCCATACAGATCATAAGTTGGGCATTAAGTTCAGAAGTCTTCTGCTGGTGATGGTGGGTTGGCATCAACAAGGTCAGAATCTGATGAGGTAACTAATACTGATGACATCTGAGGTCTGGATCCGTGAATTGGAATAATTGGGATCACGTCAGGAGTCGACAGATTGTCGATCGACTTCGGTGTTGATAGGTTGAGTGTCATAGTATTGACGTTTGTGGCTCGATGTCGATGAAGGCATGGGCATTTGTCACTGTCGAGAATTTTCAATATCGAGAGATGTCATCTGAGTGTCCATGGATATTGTTTGATATGGCTGAACGTCGGTGATGAACCCAGGGTCATAGTGACGTCGAGTTCGATGGCTTGGTTCTATCGGGTGACGGAAATCGTGCATCAATAGAGGGATAGAACAAGTGTCCATTGATGAGGATAGATATCAAGGATCATTAATATCAGAGCCTCTCGGTGATGTTGAAATGGAGGTTGTTGACGAGCTTGTAAAGCAGTGGAATATATAGACGCTGGAGATGCCAAGCGAGAGGAATGATTTCCCTCATCTGGATTAGCAGGAAAATATCAGGAAGCTGGAGCTGTAGAAGCCTCATGTGTAGAAGGAAATTGCTCAACTGTACTGGGTCTTTTAGGTGCCAGGTAGGGAGCAGGTTGGAGTTGATGTGGATCACGGTGATATGGCCATTTCGACACCGATGCCTGTTGAGATCAAGGCCCACCATGAGAAGGTATGGCCGAGCTGGATAGAGCAACTGGCTGATTGGCGGTTGCGGTTTGTTCGGTCGAGGCAAATGGCAATCCGGTGAGAGTACTGAATGCGGGTCTGAGCTACATGTGATGAAATAAATGGCTCCAGTGACTGTTGGGGCCGATGTCTCTGAGGTCGTAGTAGACTATCAGATCTTACCGAATAAGGTATGGTCTATAGTTGTTGTTCAGAGTTAACCCTGTCAGTTGAAGCAACTATGGAAGGGTTACTCGAAAGAACAATGTTGAGGACTGGGAGGAGATGTTATGGAGGAGAAGATGTTAATTGATCGACGCTGTCATCCCATTCCAGTGATTGGGAGCAGGGTTGTTGAGAGAGGATTCCGTCATCGTCAGAAAGCGAACCAACAGAGATTGATTCGGCGATTTGATGAGGCTGCTGAGAAATGACTGCAGCTTTAGATTTATGCTGTTTAAGTCTTTTAGGAGGAGAAGGCTCTGGAACTGAAAAGGCTTTAGTGGACATTTGACGTTTAGTGGAAGGCTTCGATATCAAGGATTTTGGTATCGAGCGCTTCGATTTATGAGTTTTTGAAGTTTTAGACAAAGTGGACGGAGGATTGGAGTGGGATGGTGTGGTCAATGGACGTTGTTTTGAGGCTTCAGAAAGAGCCTTGTCCATTGCTTTGGTTTGTGAGGTGGCCTTACAAGGAAGTTTGGCCATTTTGGTTGGCTGAAGGGATTGTTCTCAAAGATGGAGTTTTAATCTGGATAAGTGAGAACGGAGGACTCTGTGCTTGAAGTTCTTACAATGCTGGCAGGAGGACATCTGGTGTGCTTCTCCCAAAAAAAAAAAAAGACACTTGGTGTGGCCGTTGGAAAGTGGTATTTTGTTATCACAGACCATGCTGTGTTTAAACGGGCCCACAGGGGCCATGAATAGAAAATAATTTGAGGAGAAAAAACAATGATGGGGTGTATGTGCTGTGGCCAGACAAAAAGCGAATTAGAAAAGAAAAAAATCTCTGATGATAATGAATTTGATCTAAAAGTTTAATGGAAAAAAGATTAATAACAGGAAGGAATCAAGAATAAACTCTCTCTTTTACTCACAGAAGCAGAACTATGAGGCTCTCGACACGGCGGTTGAAAACTGAAAGGGGAAAATTGGTGTCAAGGTACTTATACGAGGGGGGAGGGGCCTTATTCTAATGGGGTTTTTTGCTATCGCAGAATCTCTAGAACTTTCCGATGAGGCTCCGCACAGGCACGGATCACCCAAGGTGTGATTCACAGAGGCCACGAAGAAACAAAGTTACATAATTCATTTGAGAAGCTGAACCTAACAAATGACTTGTTGTTTCTATAACAACATTATATTATAATAGTATTAACAATACAATTATAACTGTGTTTTATTAATACAAAAATTCTAATTAGCATTAAATATCATAAGAGAGAGGAAAATGAACAGAACAAAAGACAAACATTGTAATAGAAGACTTACCTCCTGTTCTGAGAGCTGCTGCCAACATTTCTCTACATTTCATACGTACAGAATCAGATGTGCTTGGAGCTCGAGGAAAAGAAGAGATCAATGTTTCTGATGGAGCACTAACTTCTTCTTTTCTATTGTTTGAGTTGCTACTGGAACTGCTAAAAGGAATAACAACAACAGAAAAGGTGTCAGAAAATGAGGAAGTCAAGATCTTGTGGGATTTCTGGATCCAAATGGATAGACACCTTAAATATAGACACCAGACACAGTAGAAATAGAACAAAGAAAAGTCTGGATCATTGACATCACTGACATTCCAGGAGATGCCAGAATTGAAAATAAAGAATTGGATGAACGAACAAACTACAGAGACCTGGCAATCGAAACATCTTGTTTGTGGGTGAAACACATTTCAATGGTCCCTGTAGTCACTGGGGCTTTGGGAATATTATCAAGAAATTTCACACAGTATTAGAAGCAGTTACAGATTTCAGAAATCACACCATCAGAGCTACAAAAAACTACAATATTAGGAACAACATACATACTGCAGTGATAATTAACAGATACGTAGGTTGGTTGTTGTAGGTTTTTCAGGCTGTTTGGCCATGTTCTGAAGGTTTCTCTTCCTAACGTTTCGCCAGTCTCTGAGGCTGGCATCTTCAGAGGATAGGAGTCAGAACTCTGTGTTCTGATCAAGTGTGTGGGATAGCTTTGTATTTGTAGCTGTGGGATCAGCTATTTGCCCTTTTCAGGAGATTGGGTCATTATGGTGATCAGGGTGTTTTTTGTTATGGGTGTATTATTGTGATGGGGGGGAGATGGTCTGCCACTGTGACTGATGGGCGTCGTTAGCCAGTCTTTTGTGTGCAGTGATCACTGGTCCTTGTGACTGGGTAGAGTTCACTGACCTTTTGCAGGCTGGGGTTCAAATCCCAGGTAGCCGGCTCAAGGTTGACTCAGCCTTCTATCCTTCCTAGGTTGGTAAAATGAGTACCTAGCTCGCTGGGGGGGGGGCAATGCATACCCTGCATAATTAAAAGCAAAGCAAAAGCAAAGCGTGCTGCTTATGTACCACCCCATAGTGCTTCAAGCTCTCTCTGGGCGGTTTACAATGTGCAGGCTACACATTGCCTCCCCAGCAAGCTGGGTACTCATTTTACCGACCTCAGAAGGATAGAAGGCTGAGTCAACCTTGAGCCGCTACCTGGGATTGAACCCCAGGTTGTGAGTACAATTTTGGCTGCAATACAGTGGTTTAACCACTGCACCACGAGGCTCTTATGCCTCTTATACCGCACTATGCGGTATATAAGCAGCACACTTTGCTTTTGCTTTTACTGGGAGCCAGATTGTAGAACACCCTGATCACCATAATCACCCAATATCCTGAAAACTTGTATGTGTTGTATAATACTAGTATATGTTTTTAGTTTAGATTCACTGTGCTTGGTGTTTTTGAATAACAATAATAGTAACAGATAAAAAAATACCCAGAGGAAGCAAGTCCGGATAGTAAATGTGGCAGTGCCTGGTGGTACTAGAATGAAAGACAAGGAATTTGAAAAGTTTGCCAAATATGAGTATTGACAGACTGAGACTGAATGATTATGGCAAAAGAAAACTGGGACTGTTCTGGTTGCAACTGGTGCTTTATGTGCAAAAGACCTAGAAAACCATCTTTGTAGTCCAGGTGTAACTGAGATCACAAGTGCAGTCTTCGCAAGTGCAGAAGACTGGCTCGCTTGGAACAGCATATATTTTAAGGAAATGCTTATGAATACCCTTGGTTCCTGAGAATGATTCAATATTCAAACAACTATATCCAGCCACCATTGCATGGCCTATGTATAATGGATAATAAATATCTTTTTATTTAAATGTAGTTTTTATCTACAGGTATTTGTATTTTTCTAAAAAAGACTGTAAGCTGCCCTGAGCACTGTTTTTAGTGAAAAGGTGGGATATAAATGTAATTTAAAAATGGACAGATTGCTAGACAATTTTACTGTGTTCTATAATCTTATTTATTTATTAGATTTATATACCGCCTATCTAGATCATGTCTACTCTAGGCAGTTTACATATAACATAAAAATAAAATCCAGATTGACTACAGAGTCCAAGATGGGAAAGGAAGAAAAGAAGAAAAAGAATGAGAAAAAAGAAAAGGGAGATAGGTAATGGCTGCAGGGAATGCCTGCCTATATAGCCATGTCTTCAAGTTAGTCTTAAAGGCCCTCAGCGAGGGAGCCAGGCAGATCTCTACAGGTACGTTAGCGAGGGAGCCAGGCAGATCTCTACAGGTATGTTATTCCAGAGGCAAGAGGCCACTGACAAAAAGGCCCAATTTCTAGTTTTTTCCCACCTGCCTCTCTTGGCATTAGGCCCCTCTTACTCTCAAGCCTTTTTCCCTACCAAACAAAAAAATGACTTATTCTAATTATCACAAAGTCTGAAGTTTCAAATTAGTTCTAACAAACAATACAAAAAAAGTTTGAAGACATACCTTTCCTCCCTTGCTTCAGGACTATTTTGTGATGAAGAAGCTGTTTCTTTTTTCTTTTCCTCAGAGTCTTTATCATTTGATGGTCCATCTGCAATAGACACATATTTTCAAGTATGTATCTATATATGTTCATAACAAGAGTGTTTCATTTATATAGCACATTGTGAATGTTCTAACACCTGACATATTCTCCTCCCTGTAACAACAATACTGTAAGACTTACAATATACAGTAAGTTAGTACAACCAACAAGAGGATGGGAAGGCTGAGGTGTGAAATAGCAGCTTACTTCACTGCCACTTAGGAAATTTTTTTTAATGATCAGCAAGTTTTTAACTGATTGTTCCACACAATCAATTAACTACTATAGCAGTAGTTTCAGAAAGCAACTAGACAACTGAGACTCATTTAAAAAGAAAATAACTTTTGGCAATAGTGCTCTGAAATACCATAAATATATTTACAAATGGATATTCTAAATTAGAAAATTTCAAGTTTAGTATCTGGTAAGCTAAGAATACACTGTTTCCCATAGACAAATTTCTAAGCACTGTCACCATGGATGAAATCCTGTTGCTTAGCACAGTAAGCAGCAATTAGAGTAGACTCACCAAATCCCCAATGATTCAAAGGGCTTTCTCTAACTACAATATAGAAAAAAGATCTCAACGAATCAAGTCTCAACATGTGAACTCTGCTAGGAACTGCACCTGTGTTTTTACCCATTACAAACTTACTGAAAGCTCAGAATGTTGAGGTTTATCTTCTCATCAAAACATAGTTATCTCTTGCTCTATTACAAAGCTTATATGAAATAGCTGAATTAAATTTCAATGTAGCAGATGTTATTTATACACCAAAATTAACTGATCTATACTTGCTGCAATCTTTTAGCCATATGTGTTTTAAAGACACTACCAAGTCCTACTTTGGGCCCATCATGAGAAGGCAAGATTCTCTGGAAAAGATAATAATGCTGAGAAATGCTAAGAATTTTTAAAGGATGTTTTATTGTGTTCTTTTCTTATAATGCAGTCATTCCTAACTGTCCAACTCAAATTAAACTCACTCTAGAAAGGATCCTTAAGGTACAGTGGGGGCTTGACTTGAGAACTTAATCCGTATTGGAAGGCGGTTCTCAAGTCAAAAAGTCTGTAAGTCAAGTCTCCATTGACCTACAGTGCATTGAAAACCGATTAATCCCGTAACAGGCCGTTTTTGTTCCATTTTGGTTTTTTTCTGGTCTGTAAATCAAATCTCAGTCTGCAAGTCAAACCTAAATTTTGCGGCCAGAGAAGTCTGTAACTCAAAAAGTCTGTAAGTCAAGCCGTCTGTAAGTCAAGGGTCCACTGTATAACCACCACACCCTGAACAACCTCTCTGTAGTCAAGCTATAAGATCAAGAATGACCACCTTTGACGGCCACATTGCCTGCTCCACTATAAAATAAATATTTGTACTGTAGACAGAAGAAAATAGGGAAGCCCTTGTTATCAAAATTAATTGGTTTGAAAAAAAGCTGCAGAAAGCACAGTTCAAAACCTTGATGCAACTATACCTAATAATTTCTTCCATGATTTAATGAGAGACTTTGCTAAAGATGTAACATCTTCGTCTGTGCTTTGCTTCCGTATTGCATTCACTGACATCCCAATTCTTGTAGACTGCAAGGAAAATATCAACACTTGAAACATACAATATAAAAAATATGTACAAGAATGTAAAATAAATAGAATGGGCACAACTGCATGAAGATGGATTATCAACCATAAAAGTGCAAATAATTCTTAGTGTAGGGTGTTTCAAGTCAGAGCCAGAACACTTTTTTCTTCTTAAGCAGCTGCACAAGGAGTTACTTAACCTGATGTTATTAATACAGTGGTGCCTCGCAAGGCGAGGTTAATCCGTTCCGGATTAACCTTCGCTATACGAAAACATCGCTGTACAGATCAAAAAAAGCCATTGGAATGCATTAAACATCGTTTAATGTGTTCCAAATCGGCAGAAAACTCACCGTACAGTGATGTTTTCTGGGTCCGGCAGCCATTTTCGCTCCCTCAGTAAGCGAGGGGAGGGCGCAAAAACGCTGCGCGCGGCCATTTCGGCCGCAGCGAGACCGCGGATCAGCTGTTCAGCGGCTTCAAAATGGCCGCCGGAACAGCCAAAAGGGCCGGGCACAGCGTTTTCGCACCCTTGGTGAGGGGAGGGCGCGAAAACGCTGCGCACAGCCATTTCAGCTGTTCCAGCAGCGTTTTCGCGTCCTCCCCTTGCTTACCAAGGGCGCGAAAACCCTGCGCCCGGCCCTTTCGGCTGTTCCGGCGGCCATTTTGGACCCACTGAACAGCTGATCCGCAGGTCGCAAAGCGAAGGTCAGTAAGCGAAACGCTTACCGATCTTCGCTATGCGAATTTCGCCCATTGGGGCCAACGTGATGCCTTTGAATTAGCGATCCCGGAAAAGGGATCGCTATGCGAATTCATCGCTGTACGGGGCGCTTGTTAAGCGAGGCACCACTGTATTGAGATCCAGGAAAGTCACCTTTGCCTCTACAGTTTTCCTCTGATTCACCTGTATTTTAAAACCTATTTGAGAACTAGTTAGCTGAGTAGCAAACATGCTATTAACGTAAGCAGATGTACATATTTTGCCTCTATGCTCTTGAATGTTGAAGGCAATCAGTTCAAAATAATTTGATCTACTGCAAAGACAAAGAATTCATTACAGATGAATCTGTTTTAAGATTCTTGTTTCTGAAATCAGAAGCTGATCACTAAATCTGAAACTATTGGAAAGTTCTCATTTAGCTGGTAATTCTAAATAAATCCCTATTTCAGTTATACAATAGTATCCACAATATACTTCTTAATTAGAACTTCTTAACAAACTATCTTAATTATTACAGCTGCCACTTCAGCAGACGTATGCTTCAACACAATTCTACACAACAAGCTTAGTTTACTGCCTAGGTAAATACAATGAAAATGTGTCCTATTACATACTTATTTTATCTTCTAAGCTGAGACTCTAATTGTTTAATAAAATAGTAACAACTGACAACAGTTTACACCTGGAAGATACATATGTAAACCTTTAGTCTTGTTATTACTTGAACAAAAATAATGCCACAAAATATATGAATATATAAAAAATTGTTTACTTAAGCAAAATACATAAAATACAAAGAGAAAGTCCATCTTCGGTGCAAAAGTAAATCTATGTCACTCATTACAAAGTTTTCAGATGCAGTGGTGCCTCGCTTGACGAGGATAATCCATTCCAGCAAAATCGCTGTAGAATGAAATAATTGTCAAGCGAAAGTAAAAAACCAATTGAAATGCATTGAAAACCGGTTCAATGCTTTCCAATGGGCGAAATACCTCAGCGTCTAGCAAAGATCCTCCATAGGGCGGCCAGTTTCCAGTGCCTGTATAGTGAGGAATCCATCCTAAAACACAGCGGGGAGCCATTTTGCACAGTGGGCAGCCATTTTGAAAACCCGACGATCACCTGTTTTGATCGTCGTTAAGCAAAAAATTGGTTCCCAAAGCAGGGAACCGATCGCCGTTAAACAAAAAAATCCCACACAAACCTCATTTTGCGATCGCAAATGAGATAATCGTCAAGTGGGGCACCACTGTACCTATGAGATATGTATAATAATCCACTTTTAAACTAATGAATACAATAAAGCCTTTAATACTATTTCATTATTTGTATACAGCTTTCAGAATGTACCCTCTGACACAGAAAGATTAAAGTGCCATAAGGTCCAGGTTTTTAGAGATGCCATGAGAAGGCCATGTCCTCTGAACAAATGAGATAAATATTGTGGCAGTTATAAATAAACTTTTCTAAAGTGAGAATATTTTAATACTTTCAATTTTTGAATATTACAGGTGGAGCTGCTTAACTAAATTGATTCTAGCTGGCTGCTCCAAAAAAACTAGGATATTAGTATGGAAGGAAATGAAGGAAACAAAACATAAGCCTACCACGATTTATTTTATTAGAAAGTTGTCAAAACTGAAATGTCATTAATAAGACTTTACAATAAAGCAGAACAGACTGCTACTGCCATCTACTGAATGCAGACTTCCAAAGAATCGCAAGGAGAGACAAGAGGGCCTTCTTAAATGAACAGTGCAAAGAAACAGAGGAAAATAATAAAATGGGAAAAACCAGAGATCTGTTCAAGAAAAATGGAGATATGAAAGGAACATTTTGTGCAAAGATGGACATGATAAAGGACAAAAATGGGAGAGACCTCACAGAAGCAGAAGACATCAAAAAGAGGTGGCAAGACTACACAGAGGAACTATACCAGAAAGATCTGGATGTCCCAGACATCCCAGATAGTGTGGTTGCTGACCTTGAGCCAGACATCCTGGAGATTGAAGTCAAGTGGGCCTTAGAAAGCATGGCTAACAACAGGGCCAGTGGAGGTGATGACACTCCAGTTGAACTATTTAAAATCTTAGAAGATGACACTGTTAATTAAGGTGCTACACTCAATATACCAGCATGTTTGGAAAACTCAGCAGTGGCCAGAGGACTGGAAAAGATCAGTCTACATCCCAATCCCAAAGAAGGGCAGTGCCAAAGAATTCTCCAACTACCGTACAATTGCACTCATTTCCCACGCTAGCAAGGTTATGCTCAAAACCCTGCAAGGTAGGCTTCAGCAGTATGTGGACTGAGAACCCCCAGAAGTACAAACTGGATTCCGAAGGGGCAGAGGAACTAGAGACCTAACTGCTAGCATGCGCTGGATTGTGGAGAAAGCCAGAGAGTTCCAGAAAAATATTTACTTCTGCTTCATTGACCACGAAAAAGCCTTTGACTGTGTCAACCACGACAAACTATGGCAAGTTCTTAAAGAAATGGGAGTGCCTGACCACCTTATTTGTCTCCTGAGAAATCTAGAGTGGAATCTCGACTTACAAACGTCCCTACCTATGAACATTTCAACTTACTATCTGCTCCATTCGCAAAATTTTGCTTCGACTTGCGAATGGAGCTTCCACTTACAAACACAAAAAGGCAGGGGGAAAGGGCGGGAAATTTGAATTTACTAACTGTTGGTGGCGAAAAGGCTGCTTCTTTGTAGCTCTTTCGCCCCAATAGTTAGGGAAAGGGATGTGGTGGAGGTAGCCCAGAGCCAGGAGGCTTGAGCCTCCTGGGTGCTCTGGTGGGCGCAGCAGAGGCAGAGGTGACCCAGAATCAGGAGGCTTGAGCCCCCTGCGTGCTCTGACCGCAGTGGCGGGGGCGGCAGAGGCAACAGTAGCCCAGCGCCGGGAGGCTTGAGCTGACCGGGATTCTTCAGCCGTTAGCAAGTCGCCCAGCACCAGGAGGCTTGAGTTGGCTGTGTTTCTTCAGCTGCTCGCCACCGGCCGCAGTGGAGGCAGCGATCGCCCAGTGCAGGGAGGCTTGAGCTGGTCAGGTTTCTTTAGCTGCTCGCCTCCCAACTCACCTCCTGCTCACTCCTTGCCACCATCCACCAATGGAATTTCCTGCCATCGGCCCACGGAGGGTGGCAAGAAGCAAGTGGAAGGCGAGCTGGGAGGTGAGCGGCTGAAGCACCCTGGCCAGGCTCAAGCCTCCGCCAGCGGCGGTCACAGCAGCAGTGGAAGCCCGGGAGGCTGAGGAGGCTTCGGATTGGTAAGGTGCTGCTTTTTCCTTTTAAAAAAACTGTTCTGGGTAGGTTTTGGAGGGTGGGTTTGGACTGGGGGGGGTTATGTTTCTGTGCTGTGTTGTTTTTGGATTTTATTATTTATTTATTAAGTCCCAGTGTGGGACTTGCTCTGTTTATTTTTATTTTTGGTATGTTTTTTTGAAATGCTGGAATGGATTAATCTCGTTCCCATGCATTTCAATGGGAAATGGTGCTTTGACCTACGAACATTTCGACTTACTAACACCATTCCAATACGGATTAAGTTCATAAGTCAAGGTACCACTGTATATGTGGGACAGGAAGCAACAGCTGGAACGAGATATGGAACAACTGATTGGTTCAAAATTGGGAAAGGAGTACACCAAGGCTGTATATTGTCTCCCTGCTTATTTAACATATGCAGAATACATCATGTGAAAGGCAGAACTGGAGGAAACCCAAACCGGAATTAAGATTGCCGGAAGAAATATCAACAACCTCAGATACGCAGATGATACCTCTCTGATGGCAGAAAGTGAGGAGGAGCGATGACAAACCTAGACAGCATCTTTAAAAGCAGAGACATCACCTTGCCGACAAGGATCTGCATAGACAAAGCTATGGTTTTTCCAGTAGTGATGAATGGAAGTGAGAGCTGGATCATGAAGAAGGCTGACTGGCGAAGAATTGATGCTTTTGAACTGTGGTGCTGGAGGAGACTCAAGTCCCCTGGACTGGAAAGAGAACAAACCAATCCATTCTGAAGGAAATCAACCCTGAGTGCTCACTGGAAGGACAGATCCTGAAGCTGAGGCTCCAGTACTTTGGCCATCTCACGAGAAGAGAAGACTCCCTGGAAAAGACCCTGATGTTGGGAAAGTGTGAAGGCAAGAGGAGAAGGGGACGACAGAGGATGAGATGGTTGGACAGTGTCATCAAAGCTACCAACATGAATTTGATCCAACTCCGAGAGGGAGTGGAAGACCGGAGGGCCTGATGTGCTGTGGTCAATGGGGTCACGAAGAGTCGGACACGACTTAACGACTAAACAACAAACTGCCATCTACAGTGCAAAACAAAACATCATATATGCAACCCTTACAACAGGACAAAGCATGGGCTGAATCCAATGCTAGTCTTATCTAGACGAGACCCACTGAAATGTCAGTGCAGATTAGTAGGACAATGATCCCATGCAAACTGGCAAATCTACAACAGAATGGCTGAAAAAGAAAAGATTCAAGGTGTTGGATTGGCCCAGTCAGAGTCCAGACCTCAACCCGACTGAAATGCTGTGTCGGGACCTTACAAGAGCTATGCATAAAGCAATACCCAGAAACCTCAATGAACTGAAGCAACGTTGTAAAGAAGAATGGCCCAAAATTCCTTCACAATATGAGAGACTGATAATGTCATACAGAAATGATTGCTTTAAGTTATAGCTGCTAAGCTACTGAAAGGTTTCCTTAGTTTTTCACGTATGTGTAATATGTCGTGTTGTTCATCTGAGGTTGCATCTACCTAATTTTCAGACCTGCTAAGGACCAGATGATTTCTATGATGTCCTGATATGTAAAACCATAATTATAAGTTTATAAGTTTTATTATGTGATAACAGACCCAATTATACAAAGATAAAATACATAAAATAAATATGTAGTATAATATAAAATCTTGCTATAGCATTTTGCAAATTCTCATAGCTGAAAATAAAAACTTAGCCACTAACTATGGTAAAACCATAGAATTCAAAGAGGGTACACTTTTTCACATGACTGTATTTGCACAGATAAAGCTGTCAAGATGGGCTTATCTAGAGGCCCCATTCATTTCAGAAAAACATGGAAACTAATGAACATGCATCACATACTGCATCCAAAAAGTGATGTGGACAGATTATATTTACCATGAAAAATTGGAGGCCGTAGATTACTGCAAATACAGCAGGCAGTAGAGGAGGAAAAAAGAAGCCTAAATGATTATATCAGTACAATTAGAGAGAAATCACTTAAGGCAGTGAAAATGGAGAATATTTTGAAAACAACAGAAACAAAGGCTCAATATAAGAAAAAAACAATCTGAAAATAAATTAAACAGTTGGAGAAATAAAAAAAAATTGCAAGGACAACATCTGAGGAATACTGATGGAAAGCATGACCTAAGCCATTTGGCTATCCAGTAGTTACAACTGTCATCATAAGAGTTTTTCTTTTCTTTTGCCAGGCACCAAAATATCTTATTGGTGTTAGACACTGTTTTTCTATATTTATGATACAATAAAGTTTATATTAAAAATTACTGAAAAATTTAAAACACATACCTGCAGCAACTCCAGAGTCATGGGCATATTCTTGAGTTCCTTGAGTAAATCAAGAGCCCCAGCCTGTAAAAATACATTATAAAAGACCAAATATGCACTTTGTCCTTCACATAAGAAATAAGGTTGTTCCCCCTGCCCCTAAACATAAACTTGACCAGTCAGTCTTGATCTTCAATTATTTATATAACCATAACAAGATGCATTTCACTTTCTGGGGTTTGCTAAAGGATCAATAACTATGGTTAGTTATCCACTGCCTCAAAATAATAGATGACCCCCCCCAAAATGCACGTCTCCAAGGTGTATTACCAGAAATGGTCACAAGGGGGAAGTAGAGACTATTCTTTCTTCCCCCTTCCCCCTCCACGGCCCGGGAAGCAACAAGGCAGCCGGCTGCCGGCTGGAAGAGGAGGAGGTGAAGGGGGAGGCGGAGCCAAGCGCCCGGCCGCGCCGGGTCTCTTTTTCTTCCCCCTTCCCCCTCCACGGCCCGGGAAGCAACAAGGCAGCCGGCTGCCGGCTGGAAGAGGAGGAGGTGAAGGGGGAGGCGGAGCCAAGCGCCCGGCCGCGCCGGGTCTCTTTTTCTTCCCCCTTCCCCCTCCACGGCCCGGGAAGCAACAAGGCAGCCGGCTGCCGGCTGGAAGAGGAGGAGGTGAAGGGGGAGGCGGAGCCAAGCGCCCGGCCGCGCCGGGTCTCTTTTTCTTCCCCCTTCCCCCTCCACGGCCCGGGAAGCAACAAGGCAGCCGGCTGCCGGCTGGAAGAGGAGGAGGTGAAGGGGGAGGCGGAGCCAAGCGCCCGGCCGCGCCGGGTCTCTTTTTCTTCCCCCTTCCCCCTCCACGGCCCGGGAAGCAACAAGGCAGCCGGCTGCCGGCTGGAAGAGGAGGAGGTGAAGGGGGAGGCGGAGCCAAGCGCCCGGCCGCGCCGGGTCTCTTTTTCTTCCCCCTTCCCCCTCCACGGCCCGGGAAGCAACAAGGCAGCCGGCTGCCGGCTGGAAGAGGAGGAGGTGAAGGGGGAGGCGGAGCCAAGCGCCCGGCCGCGCCGGGTCTCTTTTTCTTCCCCCTTCCCCCTCCACGGCCCGGGAAGCAACAAGGCAGCCGGCTGCCGGCTGGAAGAGGAGGAGGTGAAGGGGGAGGCGGAGCCAAGCGCCCGGCCGCGCCGGGTCTCTTTTTCTTCCCCCTTCCCCCTCCACGGCCCGGGAGGAGCGAGCCCGGCCTTCGGATGAGCCGCCGCCGCCGCCTCCTCAGAGGAAGAGGTCTCCCCGCTCAAGCTCCCACCTGCATTTTCCCCCAGCTGACCTGCGGGAGCTTGAGAAGGACCGCAGGGGGAGCCCTCTCCCGCGGTCCTTCTGATGCCCCCGCCGGTCAGCTGGGGGAAAATGGTGCCTATGGGGAAAAATCGCAAAGCGATTTTTCCCCATAGGTAACATCGTAATACGATCGCTTTTGCGATCGCAAAATCCGCATCGGTATGCGGATTCTTCGTTAAACGGGGCACCCGTTAAGCGAGGCACCACTGTATATATGGTATGTTTCCGTGTGTTCTATGCTGTAAAGTTGAAACTGACTTAGATCAAGAAGATGCTGCTTTGTACTCCAACATCTGTTTAATTAACGTACAGGGCATAGGATCTTCTTAGAGGAGAAACATCTTTGCATTAACCCTGAAGAGAGCAGGCTCAGTTCCCCCAAAGCTAGGCAAAGGGAAGCAGAGCCACCACTGAATTATCAAGAAGAAATGGACCAAGGCTTCTGTGTAGTTGTGTGTTACCTTTATAAATGAGAGACTAAGTCTCAAGATGTATAAAAATATTGGCAAAGCAGACTTTGTTCCTATCTAAAAGCTTAGGCTCGACACATTTCAGGTGTGGCCTTCTTCAGGAGTGAGTTTTCAGAACTTTTGGTTCTTGGTTGGGCTATACCAGCTCCAACATTGATCCAAAGCGTAAATACAGAAGGATGGTATTCCCATTCATACTTCTGCCATCAGTGTATGCATCAGTTTTCTCTGCTTTGTCCCTTTTTAAATGAACAATCAAATGTACTAAAAATAAGCCAGTATTTAAAAAAAATAAATACTAAGGCCTGAACACTATTGCTAGTCATGTCATCTTCTGGTTGCTGCACAATCAATGGTGGAGGGCAGGATTTCACTTAACTGGGTCTTATTTTTGGGGTAGGGCTTATATTAGAAGCATCCTGAAAAATAACACTAAGGCTTATTTTCAGGCTAGGTCTAATTTTTGGGGAAACAGGGTAGAGATAACCCAAAAACTAAGGAGGAAAACAACAATTTCTCCCACATTGTTTATCTCCTCCACACTTGCCCAAAATGTGTACAGGTCTGGGGCTTGACTTGGGCTACAAACTCCAGGTTCCGCAAGACAGTATTACAATAGGAGTTCACAGTTAATACAAAACTCTTCATCGCTATCAAATGCACTTTAAACCACTACCAAAGATTCATGCTACTTGTATGCTATACATTTCCTCGAAGCTGCACAGAAGCATGCCTCTGCATCAGGTGTGCGAAGCCCAACAAGTGTATCCACCAATTTGCTTCCATTTGTGGCTGGAACCCTGCATGCAGGGGGTGGAGTCTCCCCACAGAACTCCAGAGAATTAGAGGGAATGTTGCATATAACCTATCACAACCTGCAAGCATCTGCCCCACTCCAGCATGAAAATGACATAAAGTTTCAAAAAAAGAGCATCTCTTCTCCCATTTTAAGATTTTTGTCTACAACATTTGTAAAAACATAATTTGTGGCTCAAAATTAGCATAAAATTAGACATGGGTTTGGAGAAGACATGAAATTGTGGGATTGTAGCTAGCATAACTACCAAAACTCCTTAGCTTTGTTCTGAGGTTATTCATGCTGAATATTTTTCAAATGAATCCTTATAGCAATCTTTATGTCCATTTAAACAGAATCTTACACTCCCCCAGTGATTTTGACTACTAATATTACTTTAGTATGAACAATACTAATAATGGAATATGAATAATACTAGAAAATGTAGTAGAAAGTCTCAATGGGCAAATTCCTGTTCGCATAAAGTTATGCAGTGGAAGCTAATGACATAATCAGCTGGCATCAGTAACATTTACCAAAAACTAATTAAAAGCTTCTCCCCAACTTTAGGTTCCAAAGTTTCCTTGGGCTTCCTTTTGCACTGGAGAAATCTTTGGGAGCCTTGGGATAGGAGGGCAGAAGCCTTTCAAAATTATAAATTATCCCCTGGTCACTGTTGCCAGGGTTGGAAATGATGGCAGTGATTTGGTACCAAATGTTATCTATCAAAGACTCCTTCAGGGCAAAATAGAGTGCTAGGGAGCATCAGAACCTAAAGCAGAGAGGATGTTTTTAATTAATTTTAATGAAATGTTACCTGAGTCAGTTGACTACATCATCAGCTTCCACCATATAACTTTACAAAAATGGGATTTTGGCCATAATATTATTATTTCCATATGTATGACTGCAATACTTATTTTAACAAAACTGAATGGAATAAGACAAACTTTATTTAAAGTGAAATGAAAGACCAAAGATATACAAGCTATAAAGGGTTTGGAAGGGACAGAACTATCTTTTGCTTGCAAACCCCCCCCCCAATCTCAGATTTGCTGGCACAGCTGTTAAGCTGACTAGGATCAGCTGGCAGAATAGCCAAATAAGGGGTGGAGAAGGGGAAGAGCTGAATTATGCCAGACTCAAGCCTCTCCCAGCCCAGGCTCATTGACAGTATGCTGGCACAAAATGTAAATCTGGGTAATCCCAAATAACTTCCTACATCCCTTGGTTGTGATGGATGTGGAATCAGCACAGCCTCACCTGGCTTAATATCAACTCATCCAGCTTCAGCCATCTTGCTTTATTAGCACTGCACCCTTAGCTCTTTCTCCATGTACAGTACTGTACCTATAAAAGCAGACTTTCAATCAAGCAAAATTCATCTTGACTTCGTTGCTAGTCTTAACCCCTTGCACAAAGTGCTCTGGAATCCCTATATCTTTGCTACAAAATTATTAAAGATATGTTCCCTAAAACTCATCACTCAGGATTATTTCAGTTCTGTGCTTTTAATAGTCAGAATACTGTTAGTTGACTTACTTTCTAAAAAACAGAACCCAATAAATTTATGGTCAGTGTGGATAACTTTTTTGTCTATTGCCTTGCACACAAAGGCAAAATTCACAGATGCTTTAAAATGTCAGTTTTTAAGATGAAGGCAGATGCTAGTGAGTTAAATTACTTGCTAAATTATGGATGTACAGTATTTCACTCTCTACTTAAGTAACTTCTGTCTCAAGTCTATAGTACATAAAACTATCCTGTCATATGATATCCAGTATGTCAGAAAAAGATGTTCAGATTCATGAAAGGCTTAAGTCCCCACGTCAGAAACAACGGTCTAATTATTCTCCAGCTCTGAAAAAAAGAAATTAAGATATAAAGCCCATACACATACCTCCTCCACACACACATATTTTAGGCTACTACAGAAGTGGTTAAAGACCCGCTAATCGTTGAGACTAAAAACCTCAGAAAGTGGCAGTGGAGGGTTGTGGAAAAGAAAACCCGCAAAGGTCGCCCTTTGGATACCAGGCGCTACTTAAACTTTACAAAGAAGCTGGAAAACAGAGGGCGAGCAAAAGAACCTGCTCCAAAAGGGCCCTTAAGCTGTCACGAGTAAATATTTATTTGGCTGAAGTCACGAGACCCGGCTTCCAGGAAGAACAACAATCCGGCTGGTGGCCGGATCAATGCAATCCGTGGGATTCCCTCAGGCTCTCTGAACGTGGTGGCATGGGTGGCTCTCAGGTGAGCACAAGACAGGAATAAACGACTCTCCGTCAGAGGCCAGATGAGTGAAGGGGAAAGGAGGCGCCTCCCCGACCCGCGCCGCGCCCTCCCGCCTCCTTCCTTTGGCGCGCCCCTGCCCGCGTGGGGGGGGGCGGACGGACCACGGAGGCCTCCCAACAGACGCGCCGCGCGCGAGCGACGCTCTCCCCACCATCAGCCCTCATTTGTTTCCTTCATGAAAAAGGCGGGCGCCCAGCTGAGCGCGCGGCGCCCCTGATTGGCTGGGCCGAAGTTCAAGGCGAGCGCGCGAGGGGGTTCGCGGGCGCCTCTTTTTTCCTCCCCCCTCCCCCCCAGTGCAAGTTCATTCCTCTCACCGCGTTCTTCTTCTGCACCATCTTGTCCATCTTCTTCGCAATGCGAATGATCTCGTCTTCGGTGCTCATGGCGAATGTTCAGCGGAGCGTCGTCGTCGTCGTCCTCCAAGAGCCGCCGCCGCCTCCGTTAACTGGGATCACCGAAGCCTGCTTTCGGTGCGAGCAAAGATGGAGCCGCCAACCCACCCGCCCGGGCGGCTAAACGCGCATCCACCCGTTCTGACCCCAAAGCGACAGCTCGGCAGCCGCGGCGCCAGTCCGGGCTCATCAAACCTCGGTCGAGGGAGCCAGGCCGTCGTGCGGCAAGCCGAAAACATCGATCGAGGCGGGGGCCAGGGAGAGAAGGTGGAGCTTCCCTACCCGCAACAGCTGCTGTGCCTGGATCTGCGGAAGTGGAGGGGCCTCTTGTCGCTTTGGGAGAAATGGCCCAGGCCGTAGTCGTGCCTGAGGAGGCCGAATAGCCGGTGAAGAAGTGTCCGCAGATGGGAAAGAGGGAGAAGCAGTGCTGGCCTCTCTGGGGTTAAGGGCCTTTGACACGGAGGGAGCCGCCTGAGGCAGCAAATTGGGGCTGTCATGAAAGGGCGGCCTGTTGCTAGTTATATATTTGGGGTTAGAGCCTCTTGTTCCTCCCACGGAGCTGGGGGAGACCATCTGAATCACGGGGACTTGCGTTGACGGAGCATATCCCAGGCCTTTCCGTGGGTCTGCTCTCGCTGAGACGTGAGACTTAGCCCTGAATGATTTATTGCTGAAAGTCGGGGGGGGGGGAAGAGAAGTGTGTTGGGATTCAGATGCCGAAATAACTTCTCTCACTCCTAAAACGTCTTTTTTTTCTCGACATCTTCTCTATGGTTGTTGTACAAGGGCTGTGCATCCCCTTCTGTACAATGTTTTTTTGCACAGGCTTCAATTGGTCCAGATAGCCAGGTAGGGTGGCTGTCAGGAGTGGTCAGTAGCGGCGGTAGTGCTTATTGAAAGGCAACAGTGAGCTAGTGCTCAAAAAGCTTTACCCCTAGTTACCGTTCAGTGAGCTCTTCAAAACTTTTTCTTGAATAGGTGTCCTGCTATAAAGAACACCGTCATGAATTCAAATTAGTGCAGGAATTTCTTAAGGTCACAAAGATACTATGTGGGATACTGTGTGTATTGTTTCTATAGGTGTAGTGTATCAAGAAGTAAAAATTTGAGGTGAACAAGTATCAAACCATCCATTTCCATAGTATGGCTGAGGCCAAATATCTTTACCAGCTTGGAAACAGCATTTGATTAATGTATAAGAAAACAAATATGTTGGTACCAACATTGGCCAGTATTTTCATGTCAGTGTAATGCAAAGTTATGCTGATATAAATGTGTCAGGTGTTATGCCTGGCAAGATAGAATTACAAAGAACTGCTAGATAAGTTGGACAGTGTCATAGAAGCGACCAACATGAATCTGACCCAACTCCGGGAGGCAGTGGAAGATAGGAGGGCCTGGCGTGCTCTGGTCCATGGGGTCACGAAGAGTCGTACATGACTAAACGATGACGACGGCTAGATAGCTCAGTGGTTTAGATATCTGGCTGTGGAGCCAGAAGTTGTGAGTTCAGACCCGCACTGTGTTTCTCTGATAGGGGCTGGACTCAGTGATCCCTTCCAACTCTGAAGTTCTAAGATGATTATATGGAATTGCAATCAGTCGCACATCCCTGACACAGCTTTTTGTATAATGTGCCAGTGGAAATGCTGTGGGAATTGCACTCCTGTCTTGAGGCTAGTGCAGTTACCATGTGTGCAACCTTGAGTTGCACATGCATAGTTGTGCAACAGTATTTTGGCCAGTGTGCAGTACCACCATATTTTGTGCCACATGGCAGAAATAGAAGCTGTTGAGATCAGTCAATAGCAGGGGAGAAAGGGATCTGAAATGAAAATGTGTTAGAAGAGAACAAGTGTTCCCCCACTCATCCAAATAACTTCGTCCCCTTTTACTGAAAATGTGAAGACATCTTTCATTGTCAATATAACATAATCAGTATGATTCATGTCAGAGAAATTACATTTAGAACGGCAAATTTAGTATGAAATGTGCCATTTTCTTTCATATTTTAATGTGTGGGACCTAGTACACCTACAAATATACTTCTGGGGGGAAACTGTCACTGGCTTGAACTCATCAGGAATCTTTTGCCATCATATCCTGTGAGGCTTTTTATTGTGGCTTTCCCATACAGAACTGTGTTTACCATTCCCTTCTTCTGGGGCTGACCTGGGACTATGAAGCTTGCCAAAGGCCATCCAGGCTGACTTTACTCACAGGAGACAGAATGGGTAATTGAACTCCCAACCTCTGGCTCCACAGCCACATATCTAAACCTCTCAGCTATCCAGCCAACTTAAATTTGTGGTGTCCATAGAAAATGATGTTCAATCTTTTTATCTAGTTCCATGCTTACATTAAATGTTGCAGTGTCCTTGATCTGTGTATGACTGAAGAATTCCAAAAGTACAGTAGAAAGAACCCCAGTATCCACTGGATCAGTATCCACCGATGCACTTACTCATGGTCACCTGCAGTCAATGAAACCAGATCACTAGAAGCTGTTTAAATTCTGCAGATCCAATTCCTGAGATCTAGGTGAGATTTTCAGAATGCCTGGAGGAAAGTTTCACAAAGAAGCTGGGGAGAATTCTTGTTAGCTTGGTAGAAGGGAGGGGTAGGTTCCCAAAAGGAAAAAAAAATCCTCTTTCCATACAAGTACGTAAGGAATTAATAAATTAAAGTTTAAAAGCAAAGTGTTTGCTCCATGAAACTGATCACCTGAAGTAGTTTCAGCTCTGGCAGACCCATTCATCGGATCCAGCCCAGATCTTCAGAACACCTAGAGCAAAGTTTCACAAGAGAAGCCATGGAAGAATTGCTAGCTTGATAGAAGGGGGAAGGTTTCTGACAGAAAAAAAGGTCCTCTTTCCATACAAATAAGAAATTAATGAATTAAAGTTTTAAAGCATATTTACTAGACGTTCGCTACTATCTGTACTTTTAAAACATCAACGGGGTGTGGAACCAATCCCCCACAGATACAGGGTTCTACTATATACCTTACCTTCCACCTCATTAAGGGTATGCGCTAATGAGAAAAGTATACACTTCTGTTACTTCACTGTTAATAATTAGCTCATCAGAAATATGGTAATGATACAATTGTTATCCTTTCACTAGTATACAAAGGCAATTTCTAACAATGCTGTACAGAAGTTATAGTATACAGAAAACAAAGACCATGATGGGTAGAGTACATTTACATGCTTGGCTTTGAGGCTCAGGATCATGGGGATCTGAAAAAGGTTTAATCATACATACTTGCCTGTTCATGTTAGCTTGTCCTCCCACGTTGGCAAGGATGTAGCAAAATCAGCAAATGCTGTTCTGATTTTTAGATGCTATTGATACTGAAGCCACCACTTTCCAGTATTTCAAACATGAAATGTCCCCTCTCTGCTTTTACTGTAGTCTTTATTCTGCTTCAAGAATTGGCTTATACATTGATTGTTCAGAATTTATTTCACAGTAACATAAAGGTTACAATTTTTCAATTACAAGAAAGCCATTTTTGCAATAGATTTCTTAACATAAACAAATATAAAATCAAAATGTTATCTTCACTATGCATTTCTACAACTTAGGACAAAGGAGAGCCAAATTAATGTTGTTTATAAAATACCCCAACTTCAATATATGGCTTCATTAACTTCCTATACATACATTCTTAAAACTGTTCAAGAGTCAATAGCACCTATTTATAAAAAGATGCATTTTGCAATTTAATGACATGTAACACACGTCATTAAGGCAAACAATTAATTTATCTAAAATAAATGTTACAAAGACAATGCTCCTTCAGCAATTCACTGTACTGAACATTATACAATAGTTCAGGAAAAACTAAAGGCCCTAATGAAATCTTTAGTTTTGCCTTTGTCAAAGCATTTGTGCTATGATATACAATTAATGCAATATTTATCAACAAGTTGGCAAGTAGATATTTCACACAAGTATTTAAATTAAAATTGATCTGAGTGTCTATTTTTATTTTTGGCAAAATATTAAGAAGCCAAATTTCAAAGTAAGCAAAGCTTCTCTTTATTTGGTTACTACCATTTTGATTTCAGTAGTTTCACACATTCTTTCAAATGGTAAGAGTATTAATATAGTAAATCAACATATCTATTTGCAATTCTGATTTTTAAGAGAAAAACTACACAGTGACTATTCTATAAGAAACACTTTTTAGTAGACCACCTTCTGTTATGAAAGCATATTTCTGAGAACTTGCACACATTATCAAAGTTGTGGAACACTCTTAGTTTGCTTTCCTCTGGCAGCTAGCATTTATATAGAAATTTATTATCCAGTAAAAACAGAATAAACACTGAAAAAAGTCACGATGGTTCTATATTCAAATCATGTGAACACCAACTCTTTCCAAGGTCCCAAGTACAGAAATATCTCAGAGGGAAGGCTCTAGCTACAGAAGCATTACTACTTTTAAGGGTCAGTTAATGATTCCGCAAATCATGTGGTATAGCTATTCTTAAATTGCATTGCTTTAGGCTACGAAGAGGAAAGGAGGGCGGTATGGTTCAAGTCTCCTTCAACAATCCTCTCCAGCATACAGAATGATAGCATTTCATGGAGGTAACCTTCATTTTATCTATCAAATAAGGGGAAGGAAGCTCTCTTCTAGGTAACAAGGAAAACACTGAAATATATTATTTTCTCCCTCGCAAACATAAGTAGTATAATTCAAGATCAATTTTGCCATTCAGTTCTGCTAACATAGGTGGCTTTCAGCCTGGTAAGATATAGAAAGCCAAGAAAGGTTCAAGGGATGTAATGCACATGGCATAACAAAAGCACAAGATAAATACAAGAAGTGCCCATTGACAAGATCACATCAAGTCATTCTGGGGGCACTGCAATGCAATCTCAGTTGCAATTCATTTCTTATTATTTAAATGCTTGTCTTAGCTGAAGATGCAATAAACTGATGGAAATGTAACTACATGTATACATTTGAGAAAATAAAATCACATGCATTAAAAAAAACAAAGAATGGAAGAAACCTTAGAATAATTTCAACACCAGTAGAAATAATATGTACTCATTAGTAATGCAGTATTCCGGAAATCAACAAACACTAGGATCCAGGCCATAGCCTGGGAAAGTGAATACATGCTCACATTTTTATATACTCATACCTATTTGTAGACTTCTGAATCACATGGTAGCTTTGGGTTTAATTTAACTGTTCATACCAACTGCAACAAACCCACTGAATCAAAGGGATACAGATGTTACCTTATCAAAAACAATTTCAAACAAAAGGCTTGCTCTAGTTGGGACTATCAATTTGATTTAGCCCCTAGAGTTTCATTTGTACAAGGTATATTTTGAAACAGATTGTTTTCTTTTTATTAAATATCTGCAAAAGCTTCCTGTTTGGTATCATGAGGGGAAATATGCTATCTATTTTGACAGAGACTTCAACTCTTCACAAATTAATAAGGAAATGCTGCTGCTTCATGCCAACTGTGAGATGATATACTGTATCCGAATTCATGGATGCACTGGTTTACTAGATTGGTGGTTAAGCATAGGCCCATTCCTGATAAATGCTGTATAAAATGCTTCCTTTCTTAATTTCACAATGAAATCATTTATCAAGTCACTTAAGCCAGCCTTTAAAAATTAAACTTTTGGACTACAGTAGTACCTCGTTTTACAAAATCAATGTGTTCTCTGGGACGTTACATAAAGCGAAAATTACATTAACCGAAATGCAGATTGCCATAGGAACGGGGCGGCAGCGCTATAAAACTCCAGGCACAATGCATCCTTGGGAAACTTCCTTTGCAAACAGAAAAAAACAAACATAAGAAGTAAACCGAGGCATTATTTTATATGGATTCCATTCGTAAACCGAAAATTACGTTAATTGAGGCATTCGTAAGCCGAGGTACTGGATTTTTAGTTTATGCAATATTTTGTACAAAATGCTTTATTCAGTGTTCTGCAATTTCATTTTAAAATGAGTAGCTGAGCGAGAATCCATTCTCACTCATAGAGATTCAATACTTGTCCCAGATTTCTGAGTAGCCTGATGTATACATATAAGAGATAATACTATATTTCAGCAAGGCATAAGGATAATTTAAAGATTGGACAATAGTTCTTGCTGGCACATGCAATAAGATTGGTTAAAACTGACCCTTACATTAAGAATACTTTACTACTGCATGCTTATTGTGTTTTGCATATTGCATATAGTGTGGATATTTAAGCATTGACTTAGCAAGCAGTAATAAGAGATCTTGTACTTAAATTGTTCTCATTTAAACAATTATTTAAAAGAAGTAGTCCTTGGCTTTCAACAGACAACTTCAAATTTGGAGCAATCTAGCATGGAGGAGTAGCCTGACTTATATTCGAACAAGCCTTTCCTCTGCTGTATATCTATATCATGACCAGTAAAGTTTGAAAAGAGAATTATTTTTCATGACATTATGCTACCTTTTGCAATACAGTTAACACCGTAGGCAGAGATGCTTTAGAAATGTCTGCATGAAAAGAAACAAACTAGTACAGATGATGCTGGTGCATTTAACAGTAGGCTTCTTACACAGTCTCAGTCAACTGGAGGTAGTTGCTTGTCAATAAACTGTTTCACATCCATCATCTCCTGTTCAAAAAATATTAAAACAAATCATCAAGTTCAATTAATTGGTACTGATATTGCAGAAATTAATATACAAGAAAATAGCATGCAGTTCCATTCCTTACAATGCAAATTAATTTTTTCAAAGCATCATCAAATCACCTTCCGATCATTCTTAAAACAAAAACATTTATTTAATTATAATAAAATAGGTTCTGCATATATCTTCTGTTATGCAATGAACTTGTTTGGCCAAGCCTGCAGTCCTATTCCTACTTATGGAGCTGGTCTTGCTGTACTCAATGGAAATTACTGGATTACACTATGAACAGAAGTAACCAAGCCCATGCTAAGACCATTTTCTAAAATGCTTCATATTTTGTTAGCAATGAATCCAAAGACTCTCAGACTCAATGCCACTATCATAAAAAGAAAAGTTCTTACACTTCATATATTTAACTACATAAGAATTGTCATCCTATTTGAAGAGTAAAAAATAATCAAATGGTTTTTACCCATGCCAAGAATTTAAACTACATCCAAAAAACAGATTCAATAACTTCTATCAATGCCACATGATGCATTAAGTTATTGGAACAGCAAAAGATAAATAGCACTGCAGACCAAGGGTGGCAAACATGGCCTGCAACTCCTAACACCACTAAACAAAGTAGCTAATATGACAGACTATGAGAGTTAAGTTCAAAATGTCTGAAAGACGAAAGGTGACCCACTCCTGTTTTAAAAGGGCACTACCATCAATATTTTCTCCTTTTTCCAGAGCACTCATTTTGATATAAAACATTTATTACCTCAATACATGAACTATGCATCATGCCCGAATAGGTTTTGAAAGTTACATTGGCAGGATTTATCATAGCCTTCAGCGTCTCGGAAGTGACAGAGCCAAATAGTAATGGTACTAAAGGATCACCATCACCATGGCACTGAAGAATAGGAATGTCTTTGTTGACACAGCTGATGGGACCCTATCAAAACATTAAAAAGAAGTCAGAACAACACAGGTGAAGAAATGTATTCTTCAATAAGAACCAGCTTTTCATGTCATCCATCTTCCAAGTGGTTGAGTACAGTACATGTCTACTACATGCACATATCCAACCAAGGAGGTAGGATGGGGTGAGAGACAATGACTTTTCACTATAACACAATCAGCCCTTTGGCTGGCTGGAAATAAAAACCCACATATTCCTAGATCCAACATTTTATTCACAATACAATTGGACTAGCTTCAAACATTGCTGAGATACAAACGTGGAATCAAGGAATCTGCTTTAATTGCACTCATGGACATATAAGCACTGGATGGCCAGAATCCTATCTATTCATTTAAGGCTTCTGCAACTTGCTGCAGACAACTGCAGCAAACTGACAAGGTAACAGGGCATGTCTGTCACATGCTTGATTATACATCCACTTGTTCAACTGAGATGTGCCTCAGCACCTCAATTAGCTAGAATTAGCCCAAACCAGTTATATAAACATTATGTGAACATCAGCAACATTCCAGTCAGCGGTCCCTCTAAAATTACAACTTGGGATTTTCCTTAATTTTTTTCTTCTTCAAGTGAAAAACCTTTTTATCAGCTATGTGCTAAATTGAATAGGCAAAGCAAGCATTGCTAGCTTAGAACATTCACATCAAACTTTAAATAATTACAAGTAATTTAAGAGGCTTTCATTTTAAAAAGCAATCAGTTCCTGCTAACATTATGTGCTAAAGGATTGCCTAACCTGAGTGCCTTTGCTGTAAAATTTCCTTTTTCTATGCTAATCAAAGGAAAGACTCTGAAGATCTATTTACTTGCTATCCTTGTATTGTGTCAACTAGTTATGAAACAGTTCCTTGCTTGAGTTACTGGTTTCATAAAATGGAGGTTATATTTTTCCATATTCAGGCTCTGAAAAGGGCAACAAAAATTGCATGAAAAGGGAGGCTCTTATACTGGTTTGAGCTCCTCATATAGACTGAATAAGATGGAGAAGTATTTAAAGTACGTATATCAAGTACATTCAATTTAACTTGCAAGGAAACTGTGCTACCTGTGGAAATGAAGTCCGCAGTGGAAGCCAACAGCTGAGTGCTACAACACCCGCTAATTTTTGATGTGTTGTGAGAGCGGTGTACAGTGATAAAGCTCCTCCCTATAAAAACCAAAAGCAAAGATTGTCATGAGGGTCTCAATCATGTATCACTCAAGTCCATATGAAAATATACATGCATATAAAAGATATATAATGTAAGTTTTCAAAGAGTTTCTTTCTAATATTCAGACAACTAATAAAGAATATCTTTACATCAATCAATATCAAAATATCTGCTCTGCATTCTCCCTAGTACCTTCAGATATAAGTTTCTCACTTTCAAGAGTACCTTCAAGCTAATCATACAACATTTCTAGTGGGTACTGCTCCAAGGACCTTGAAGCATATTAAGAATTAATCTGTGAAGATTCTTAGTCATCCAAGTGTGGTTATCTGGAAGTTGAGTCATGACAACTGACTTCTTTCTTGTTCGGTTGAAACCTTTCACTACTCATCCAAGCAAATTCTTCAGACTGAAGAAGCTGCTTGAATGAGTAGTGAAACGTTTCAACCTAACAAGAAAAAAGTCCAGTTGCCATGACTCAACTTCCAGATTAAGAATTAATGTTATCCTGCTTCCCTCCATTTGTTCAAGAATAAATTAAATGAAGTGGCTAGTTTTGTGGAAAACTACGTGTAATTAAGTACAGTACAACATATTAAGATACTGAAGCAATAAAGTGTTCTGAACAATAAAAATTGCCATGAAACTCTTTCTTAAGAACATTACCTTCTTTCTCTTACGCTACCTTACTTCTATGAAGTTCACTATAGTTTGTCCTATTTACTCACTTTGTATGTCTGAGGAAATTGATTGTAATCCATGAAAGACATGAGGCAATCCTGCATGCAAGTACATGCTCTATCTCTATGTTACATGCATGCAATAAACCTATTAACCTTTAAAATGATCATGGATGATATAAATCTATCAGCCATAAAAGGTACCATAAGAATTTGGAGGAGGGATTGGGTGATAGTTTGTTCCAGCATACACAACAAAAGCATAGAGCTACCACTTTAAAAACTGCTGGAATCTATGGAACTGCTCCATTCCCTATGGCAGTCTGAAGCTTTAGTAATGCTGTCCATATGCCAAGTAAAAATGGCAGAATCATGTAGACAGCTAAAAAGGATAAAATATACAGTTTCTCCACTGCTCAGCCAACTCCCATATAGAGGTCTAACTAAGGCTAAAACATTTTCTACAAGGAAGCAAGGTTTAATGTGGGTATCACAGAACTAACATTGCCTAGTACATAACGACTTATTTTCTATATTTGCATACTTTTTGGTGTAAAAACTGCTACTCATCCTGGACGCTGAGAAAGCGCGAGAAATGAATTTAAATAAAAATAAGGCAAATTCAAGCAAAGACAGTAGCTAATTAACTGCTTGCACAACTGCATGCTACATCTCTACAGCAATCAAGGATGTAAGAAAATGCTGTGCAAGATGTGGTGTGGCTCTTTCAAAGGACAACAGAAAATAATGAGTGCAAACATTATTTTGACTCAGGTTTCATACTAGTAGAATTGCCATATTGTAAATATTACCCTTTGTTTCCACAGAATTCATGCAAAAAAAGAGGGGGGGGAGCATCAATTTTACCTGAGAAAATCCTCCCAAAATTATTCTGTTTGAGGGTATTCCATTCCTTACTTCTTGCTCTATAATTGCTTTCACTGCAAAGGAAGTCTGGTTGTTAATGAAAATAACAGAAAGTGAATGACTATCATAGAAGATGACACTAAGAGACAGAATGAGCCAGTGGATCATTTAGACCAGAGGGCTGAGATCTAACATGTTATTGTCTTCATGCTCCTGACTAGAAGTTTTGGGAGTTGATACCTACATTTGATCCCACATCAGTCTATCCAGTTGCACCATTCCCCCAGCCATCACCTCTGCAGTGTGAGACACTTCACAATTTATCTTGCCTTTTGAGTAACAAAAAATTATCCCTGCTAGAGACTCTTTGGCCAGCAGTTACCTGCTGCACCAGCTTTTCTGCTGATCCATTAATTCACTTCTTCTAACAAGCTTTGTATTTAAAAATTTGAACAAATACATTTTCATCTCATTAACTGTAAAGAGTAGATTGGGCAAACTAAAATTACAGGTATTGGAATCATACCACACAACAGAAATCTCATACCGATGTCAAGTATTTCCTCAGGTAAAAGTAAAGCAGGCAGAAGTTTAAATAATGTTTAGAAAAGTAGTCAGATACATTCTACTAACTTGTATAATATGGGTTGATAGAAAAGATCCCACAAGTTATGATCCTACCCTTACTGCTTCCCATTCTAATAGCTTGTCTACAATCTACTACAGTACAGATGGTGTATGGCAAATGGAAAAAAGGTGCAAAGAGTAATAACACTTGGTACATAATAAACCAGTACCTAACTGCAGACTTTTACCATACTCCTATTTGGTGGGAAGCAGAGCAAAGGGTTTTAAAATTCCCTAGACATATGACTGATATGCTAGTCCACTGAATGGTCAAAGAACTTTTTGATGTGACAGAATAGATTTTTTCACATATAACTTTTATTATAACTTTTAACAGTGGCTGGTACTTTGTTACATCTGTTTTCTCTTTCATTTCTTCCTCCTTCCTTATTTATTCATTTATATCACATTTTGGAAACTCAGCCTGATGGTCATGATCCATGGACAGAAGCCAAGAAAAACAACTGCTTAGAGATACTCTATACATAAAATATATATGTATATAAAAATGAATACAATCAACTCTTATCTGAATATCTGCTGGAAATGTGAGAAGGAAATTGGTACATATTTTCATATGTGGTGGGAATGTGAACAGTACAAAGATTTTGGAAATTAATTTTTAAGAAATTAACTGATATATGTGAAAGGAATTTAATCCTGAGATAGCTTTGTTATCAATATTTGTAAATGTGGAATATGATGTGGTGACTAGAGAGTTGATTACCAATTTATTAACAGGAGCCAGATTAATAATAGCCAGGAATTGGAAATCAAAACTTGAATTTCAAATGGAAGCGCTGTATAATGAAATATGAAATATTGTTATAAATGATAAATTAACTTGTAATTTAAAAGTCAAGAAAGGAGAGATTTAAAAAAATCATGTTCTGGAAAAGAGGACAATAAGGGAGAATAATAATAAAGACAATGTAAGAAGACTACTGTAAGAGGTCCCGACTAGGGTGGTGGGGAACACAACTGATTTGTATTTCTGTTTATGTATTTTATGGTGTAGTTTATAATATTTTTTTTTAAAAAAGAGAGAAACTCTATATAAACATTTATACAAATATTACTCAACATTGTTTATGGCTATAGTAATTCTTAATGGCTTAAAAGATTACTTTTCTGAAAAAGTAAATCTAATTTGTTTTCATTCTTAGCATGTAAGTATCAAAGCTTTAAACGATTAAAACAGTTTATATGCTGTAAGTTGTTAACTTTTTTTTTACTAGTCAGATGTCCAACCTGAATGTAATACCATAACTGGAACATACAAATTCCCTGACTTAAAGGAAAGCTATTTAAGAATATTGGGTGTGTTGAGATCAGTTTACAGAACAGAGCAGGACCACTGTACCCACGGGATCAATATCCATGGTTTCACTTATTCACAATCTAAAAATATTAAATGGAAAAAACCAAGATGTATTACTGGAACTGGCCACTAGAAGGAACCAGAGACCATGCTAAATGGAGACAGTATGTTTGGAAGTGATCTACTGTTTTTCTGAAAATAAGACCTAACCTGAAAATAAGCCCTAGTATGATTTTTCAGGATGCTCATAATATAAGCCATACCCCAAATAAGCCCTACTTAAGTGAAACTCCGCCCTCCCCCATTGTGCAGCAACCAGAAGAAGATGACATGACTATACAGTGGACCCTCGACTTACAGACAGCTCGACTTACAGATTTCTCTGGCTGCAAAATTTAGGTTTGACTTGCAGCCGGAGACTCGACCTACAGACCAGAAAAAAACAAAAATGGAACAAAAACGGCCAGTTACGGGATTAATCAGTTTTCAATGCATTGTAGGTCAATGGAGACTCGACCTACAGACTTTTCGACCTGCAGCCACCGCTCCAATATGGATTAATTCCGTAAGTAGAGGGTCCACTGTATTTGAATAAAGGTAGATTGTTGTACCTGGAAAAAAAATCCCCTGAAAATAAGCCCTAATGCAGTTTTTGGAGCAAAATTTAATATAAGACCCTGTCTTATTTACAGGGAAACACTGTATTTAGCTATGCTACCAAACAAAGATCATTTCAGCAAGATTTAATGGAATCACAACAGAAAGTTTGTACTGTACACTGTAAACTGGTGAATCAGAAAGGGACATAGTTACTTTTATTAACCTATTTCAGAAACAATAGTGTCCAGACCACAATGATACAAATTATGGCAACATGTTTATCAAGCTTAATAAATATAAACTGTTTCAGCAACAGAACAGGAAAGCAGGACATCCACTTCTATTGTGTAATCTGCCAATAATATAAAGCCTGTTCCATGTAGATTATTACTGTGCTGTTCAATTTCAGCTGAGTTACACTACCTCATGCCCCAAATATTAAGATATTATTGTATCTTAAACAACAGGGCTGAAATACTGTTCTTTAACATACACTGTGTGAAAGCTGATGATGTCATTAGTCACAGTGCTTTTTCAAAAATAACACAATTCTGATTCCCCTTTTCCTGTGTGATCCCTTTTGTCATAGGGAAGCCGTTTGGGACCACAGGATGGAAAGTCTTCAATATCTGAAAATTGCCAGTCTCAGTAAAATCATCCTGGCAGCTGCAGGTTTTTTTGGAAACTGAAGATCCTCTCTCATCTTGCAGCCCCAACAGCTGCCCATGACAAAAGAGATCCCACAGAAGCCTCAGGACCTTGGAAAAGAAATTGGAAATGTTTTATTTCTGGAAAAAAAATCTTAAGAACGTAAGGCCAAGGGCCCATCTAGTCCAGATTCCTGTATATCACAGTGGCCCCACCAGAAGTCTCTGGGAGCACACGAGACAACTAGATACCTGTCTCCTGATACCCCTTCCCCTGCATCTGGCATTTTAAGGTACCTTTCTTTTAAACCTGGAGATTATACATCCTCATCATGGCTTGTCACCTGCAATGGACATTTTCTCCAGGAATCTGCCCAATCCCCTTTTAAAGGCATCTAAGCCAGATGCCATCACCACATCCTGTGGCAAGGAGTTCCACAGAGTAACAACACGCTGGGTCAAGGAATATTTTCTTTTGTCTGTTCTCACTCTCCCAACACTCAATTTGAATGGATGTCCACTGGTTCTGGTGTTGAGTGAGAGGGAAAAGAGCTTCCCTCTATGCACTCTATCCATCCCCTGCATAACTTTATACCTCTCAATCAGGTTCCTTCTCAGGCACCTTTTCTCTAAAGAGCTCCAAACGCTGTAGCCTTTCCTCATAAGGGAGGTGCCCCAGCCCAGTCATAATTTTAGCTACTCTTCTGCACTTTTTCCAGTTCCACTATGTCTTTTTTGAGGTGTGGCAGGCAGAACTATACGCAATACTCCAGGTGTGGCCTTACCAGCGTTTTGTACGATGGCATCATAATGTTGGCCGTTTTATTTTCAATCCCCTTTTTAATGATACCTAGCATTGAATTGGCCTTCTTCACTGCCGCTGCACACCAGGCTGACACTTTCATTGAGCTGTTCACCAGCACACCAAGATCTCTTTCCTGATTCATCACAGACAGCTCAGAACCCATTTGCTGACAAATAGTTTAGATTATTGATCTTCAATTTATCAGTTTGGTCTAAAATATCCTCTCTTTTAACCTGTAACTGAATGAAGCCACTTACATATATATGATGACAACATCAGCCTTAGGTGGTGTAACATCTGGCAACAGGATGTCAGCTAATATAAGTGAGGATCTGCAATAACTCATTCAGTCTCCATGCTGCTAACATCACTTATACAAATAACCTTTTAAAAATACTGAAATCGAAAGTCACCCTATTAGGCAACCTATTAAGTAACTTTTTTTTTTAAAAAAAAGAAGAGCATGGCCTAGTTATGGAAAATTTAGAACTCAGAGCCAACACTAATGTATACCACAGTGACTGCTCCAATGCCACTGAGCTATTTCCACAGAGCTTTCTTTCTTTTTTAGGTGCTATCAAATACAGCCCTTTGGAGGCCTATGAGCATTTACCATTCACACTGAGCTGTGTGCTTTTTAACTGATATATGTGAAAGGGATATTTCATTGCTTGTTTTTACTGTTTGTTTTCCTAAATATAATGATGTTCATTGAAGCATGCAGATACTTTCCTGTTGTTTTTTATTCCAGCCCTGTCACCATTCAACCACTAGAACTATTTTCTGACAGTACTGCCAAAAATTAGACTCTTGATAACTCAGATGACAAAGTAGTCTCATAGCAACTTAGAACTGAAGACACCTTGGTTTAGTGTGAGATAATCACCAGCAATAAGATTCAATGCATGCCTATAAGAAAAAACACACGCTACCTCTAGTGTCTATATAGGTATACAATATGTAGAGAGATGTATATGGCAAAGCTTCTGGGGCACCCTGGGCCTCCCTTTTTTGCTGGGAAAGCCTTTGGAAGCTTTGAGATGGGGCAGAGAGAGATTTTAAAAGTCAAAAATTGAGGTCAACTCACAACTGAGGGTCTCAGCAGCAGTAATCCAGTTGTGATTTTTTTTACTTTTAAATTCTCTCTCCCCACTCCCAAAGGCTTCCCCAGGGCAAAAGGAACCTTAGAGCGCCTTGGAACATGGAATTGAGAGATATGAGACTTTAAATCATTTAATTTAATTATTTCAGGTGCCCCAGTCTGGCTGACATCAGTGCAAGCTTACAAAGTAGGATTTTGCCCATTGTTACTTTTAGCCATATGAAACTCTCTTGACTGCAAACAGCCTAGGACTATTTTATTTCTAATTATACACAGACACATACACACCATGAATATGAAGCAATACCTCTTCCAATGCATCCCCAAATCTTAGCTGAGCTGTATCAGAACTTTAACTGCAATAATTAAAACCTCTATGCAGAACAAAAATTTGTTGAACTGAAACTACTATATGATACAAATTAAAGCTGCAGATAATGCTGCAATTACAAGTCAAGCTGAAAGTCTGAAAGAACAAAGCAATTTTTCTTTTCTGTTTCATCAAAGACAACGTTGTTATAGAACATACCATTCTCTGATGCTTGCTTGATCCCAGCTTCATCTTCCTGTGAATCTGGAGCAAGTCCAATGATATCAAACCTTAAATCAAACCTTAAATCAGTATATTACATGTCTTTACACAACGGTAATGCCCACAACAAAAAGTTGTAAGACATCTATGAAATGTATATGTATGACAACATATTAAACTTAGCCAAGTATATTTTGAGGTCTCTAACCATATATTTCGTATCATGAGGAACTGTGTACAGTATTTCTAAATACAGCAGTCACCTGCAAAGTAACAGTCTAGAATTAGACTATGACACATTTAGTTTAAAAGATTTTTAACATGCTGTTTCAAGAGCAAAATAAAATAATCATCCTCAAGATGAGCAGGACAAAGGCAGGACAGAAACCTACTTGAATGTCAAAACTCTCACTCTCCTCCAAGAGACATGCTATCAATTCTCTGGGGAGGCTCAGAGGAGAAACAGTGGGAAGGGGAACTGTTCTGCTCCCAGTTCCAGTATAAATTATCTATCTTTATATGCTAATACATGAAGACATGTGCTAACAGTCACAGAAGTGATGAAGCATCAGGGACTGCCTGATTGTGCCTTATAAACTTTACAAATGTTTTAAATAACGGAAGCTGATGGGCAACATGGAAACTTTGGACATTGCTTTTTCCAGAGAAAGCAATATAGCAGTTGGGGAATAATTAAGGCCTCATATTATATAGGGTCAAGAGAAGCCATGTGAGCAATGAAAAAACAATCTGAGAACAGGTACCAGTAGACTAAATAGCCAAAATGCTCCACTATACAGATGTAGAATTTTCTTGGAGCTCGCACAAGGAGGCATTCAGCATTTCCCCATGCAGACATAAACCCAGTGCTAAGCTATGGAAGCAAGCAAGCCTGGAAAGTGCTCTAAAAGCACTGTGAAGAAAAGGCAAGGCAGACCACTACAAATTTTTGCTGGCAAAAAGAAGCATTGACCCCAAAAAAAAAAAAAGATGAATTCTCTCTACCTTCCCCTTTGTTTCTGCAGAAGCAGTAAGCAACTTGCTCAAAATGAGGGTGATCTCTCGCATGTACAACAATAAGCTGGACAATGTGAATTGGTCTAAGCAAGGAGTTATGCCCCACCCACGTTAAACAGGATACTGTTGTTAGGGGTTGGATGGCCAGGTCAAGTGTGGCAAGAAGGACAGTTGAGGAAAGAAATACAGTAAGCAATGAGACAGGGAATAGAAAAACAATACACAATGATCAGATGCAGGATGCTTTCAGTAGGGAGGGCCTGCTGTTAAGAAACTGCTGTATTGGGAAGGAAAACAAGGTAGCTGATACCCTGCAATGCAGAGAAAAGGACTGACAGAACAAGGAACAAAGAAAGACACTGAAGTTTTGAGAAAATATTTTTAGAATGAACTGAAGAAAAGAAGCAATAAACAAGAAGTGAATCTAGGAATTAAATTCACATGTAATTACAGTATCAATTATACATGACAAAGCACCTGTGTTTTAAGTACTTCATGAGTGGTTGAAATAGAAGATCCAGAGAAAAATAAAAGCAAAGAAGTAAAAAATTAAAAAATGTTGTGGTACTTTAAAGCAGTGGTTCTTAACCTTTGTTACTCGGATGCTTTTGAACTGCAACTCCCAGAAACCCCAGTCAGGACAGCTGGTGGTGAAGGCTTCTGGGAGTTGCAGTCCAAAACTCCTGAGTAACCCAAGGTTAAGAACCAGTGCTTTAAAGCCTAAGTGTTACATTTCTGAAAGTTTTTGTGGATACATCTACTTTTGGAATCCACAACAGCTCAATATTTTTAGGTGCCACAACATTTTATTTTTGTCTGTATATGCTTGCACAGACTAACACAATTTTGAAACAGAATACAGTGGTGCCTTGACTTACAAACGTCCCAACATATGACCATTTCGAATTGCAACCAGCTCCGGCTGCAAAATTTTGCTTCAACTTGCAGCCAGAGCTTCAAGTTGCAAACAAAAGAGGCAGAGAAAAAAGGCAGGGAATTCAAATTAGAGGGCTAACCGTTGGTCGGGGAAGACCTTCTTTATAGCTCTTTTGCCCCAACGGTTAGTGTGCGTGCGTTTGTAGAGAGGGTTCGGGCTGCCTGGTGCTGCTTTCTGCTTCTGGGTGAGTACATTTACAGGGTATTGCATGGTGGGTTTGGGCGGTTATGTTTCTATGCTGTGATTTTTTTGTTTTTTGCTGTGTGTGTTTTCCCAGACCCATTGCATTCCGATGGAGCTGGCTGTGTGGGGGGGTATTTTTCCCCCCAGCCCCATGGCATTCCGCTGGGGCTGGCTGGGGGGGGGGTTGATTTTTTTTCCCAGCCCAATCGCGTTCGCATGGAGATAGCTGTGGGGTGTGTGTGTTTGATTTTCCCCCCAGACCCATCACCTTCCAATGAGGCTTGGAGTGGTTTTTTTGTGATTATTTTTTTCCACCAGAATGGATTAATGGGGTTTCAATGCATTCCTGTGGTAAATGGTGCTTTGACTTACGACCATTTCGAGTTACGACCATCTTCTGGAACAGATTATGGTCGTAAGTCGAGGCACCACTGTATTTTATTTTTGGTCTGCTCATTTGCTTTCAACAGGAGCTCCCCACAAGGTGATTAAGTTACGCCTCTCCTAGTAAGCAAATAAAATGCTGAGAAAATCTTCACTTTGTATTTTCTCATCACCTGCTGCTGAAACAAAGCAGAGATCAAAAAAAGAAAGGGTGCAAGTGGGTTCTGGACAAGAGACCCAAAGGTGAACAATGCTTCCAGAGGAGGTTCCTGTTTTTAAGATGTTTGTACAGCAGAAATTATTCTTTAGTTTGAATTAAAGAATTAAATCTGCTATATTGGGAAGCAGTAGTAATAAATTCTGGGGAAAGCCACAAATAAATACTGCCACCCATACTCGCTGTGTGCACCTTAAGAGATCAGATGAAAGACAGAACCAATTGTCTTTGATTTCTTTCCTTTTCCCATGGCAGGCATTCTGCTGAGGAAAAAAGTATCACTTTTTATATTCTATAGCCCACAGCTACAGTACAACTGTGGCTTTAGCTCATTAGCCCTTTTTATAGCTTGTTAAGGCAGCTTCTGCAACAGCCATCCAGATCTGCAGAAGGTTCAGCTACTGCAGAGGTGCCTTAACAAGCTGCAAATAACTGCTGATTATCAATTTCTTTCTCCCTCTTTGTTACAATAGTCTCTTAAGAGATCCAGCACAGGTTTGTTCCAATACTACACTAACTCTCCTTTTTCTATGTTGCCTCCCTGCTTTGTGGAACAAGGCTGCTTTTATTGAAAAGAAAAATGTTCCCTTACATCAGGATTGTGTTAATATGAAAACCAGCTCAAAATGGAAACCAGCCTCCTTTACTTTCTTTACAATAAGAAAAATCTCTGTGGGATATAAATTTCTGGTGGCTAGCGGGTTATGGTCTACATCCCAATCCCAAAGAAAGGCAGTGCCAAAGAATGCTCCAACTACCGTACAATTGCACTCATTTCGCACGCTAGCAAGGTTATGCTATATGAAAACCAGCTCAAAATGGAAACCAGCCTCCTTTACTTTCTTTACAATAAGAAAAATCTCTGTGGGATATAAATTTCTGGTGGCTAGCGGGTTATGGTTAGAATCAGCACATGTAAAACTCCAAATGTTAAATTTGAAGATAAGGGCTTCTCTGCGTTGGCCAAAGAGATCACACTGCCTTCGTGGATGCAAATACATTAGCCCCCCCCAAAAAAATAAAAAAAAAATCAAAGCACCATCAATGGAGGAAAATAATTCAAATGGGGGGTTCTGGATGATTTGCACCGTATGTTGTATAGTCAATAGAAAATATAAATCTGGCCATCCTAATTCCAGGGTAATTCCCAGGGCTTGAAAAATTTTAGAATGTCTCACCAGTCAGTCAAAAGTTTCACCAGTCAGCATGACCAGACTATAGCCTTGCAATTTATTAGGATTGGGAATCACCGATTTATACACTCAAGACTTGGATTGCTTAATTAACTTCATGCCTGTGGGGTCATGAAGCTTGTCTTTTGAGTGCCTTTCTTTTGAATGTCTCCAGCAAAAATAAAACTTAAAGCAAAAGCGTCTGGCCTCTTAGGAGCCATGGTTCCTACACACTCCAGGATGTGTCCTCATTTGGTTGAAATTGGGAGCAGGGAATCTTCATATTCTCCAGCATGGGACTACTCTACATTTTCCTGCAGAGCTATATCTCTATGTACTGTTCAAACTCTCTTCTTGTAAGAAGAAGGCAGTTTTCCTTTTGCAATAGGAGGGGGGAGGGGAGGACTTCAGGATTAGAGAGAGAGACAGGTGGCGGGGAAGGAGGCAGGGAGGGAGGGAACTGTGACTTGTCCAGCAGCGTTTTTCACTCATCACAGATGAGTGGACGAGTGCATTTTTCAAGCCCTGGTAATTCCCATATTATTTGACAGTGCAGTCCCCCTGTAAGAAGGCAAAACCAAGCTCTAACATTCATGTAATCCATGGATATCTATCATTTTGTAGAGGCAAACATCAATCTTCTATCCTTCATCACCCCATTCTCCTTAGTACACAGATTCACTCCTTGGGAACTATATAATCGGTATTTGATAAAACAATAAGCCAAATAAAATAAACTTCTACAAATGTTATTCCAAATTACTCACCAAGAAGGCATAGCCATATTCATGTTTAGAGAAACCGGCATAACTGGCCTGGAAATTGGAGGGTGGAAAGTTTAGTTACTCTCACAGTAGTCCCGAGCCATCATTCACAAAGCAGAGTCCCATAGTAAAAACTGTGTACATTTACAAGATACAGCAAAAAATGGACTTAAATATGATACCATTGTATAGTTAGGTCATAAGTACCATGACCTAATTATTGTACTTGATTGTTTCAAGCTGTTACTAAACCTATCACCTTTCCCCAATTCTTTTCTAAAATGTCACACAGTACAATTTGTGTAATATCTGAGTTAGTGAATGGTATTTTAGGCCTTATGGTTGCCAAGCAGTTAGAAATCAACTAGCACAACTTGCTTCTCTTTAAACCTTCAAGAAATTTTCTCCAACACCAGCATCACCTCCACTCTTTCCCCTACCCCTCCACAACCTCTTCCTCATAGACTAAACAGAACACCATCCTATGATCAAAAGGCCTCCACTCCCAAGTTCAGACACCTAATAATTTTATTGAAAGAGACAGAACCCTGGTCTGCCTCCATATTGACAGGAAGCTGGCTGATATGAACACTGAGTAGAAAGGATGATAGTTCCCCCCCCCCCAGTAAGACAGATAAGTTAACAAGGAAAAACTCTTTGCAATAGTGAAGGCTGGACCTGGTTCGAAACAAGGTATCTAGCCCCAGCATTTTCCAGCTACTGTCTTCTAAGTTCTGATAGTGGCATGGACAGATATTGACTGTCTTCGCTGTTAAGAAATACTATTACCATAGGGTGCTTGAGGACTACTGAATTTAGCATCCATTGTGATCATAGCAGCAGCATTCCCTAGATGCATGCAGGTCCACTCCACAGTTAGGCTCCTATTTGTTCATCTCAAGCAACTGGGTATTCCAAGAACAGTTCTTGCTTATCTCAACATACACATGATGAAATGGAACACAGTTCAGAAGTCTAACTAAAAGGAACTCATAGTGGTTGATATCTGCTCCATGATGCACACTCAAATACAGCTTGTCAGAAATTATTAGTCATCACTCCCAAATAGTAAAAATTTGGAAGAATAAACCATAAGAAAGGAGAGATGAACTGAAATGGATTAACATACTTACGCATGTGGACAAATATACTTTATGTGTGGGCTTCTGATACCAGCAAATGCTTCTGCCCATCCATGCCTATTTGAACATATGGAATAAATTGTAATTCATAATGAAGTCGTTTACACAGCCATGCACCTTAGAGGGAATCTTGCCAATGACTTATAAACTGAAAGCTAAAAGGTACAGTATAGAGAACAAAATTAAGATGCTCAAATTTGTCTACAAAGGTTCACTCTGTACAAGTATATTTCCATAAGCACTTGATAATAAATATAGTATTGATTTCTTCACTTTGCTGCATCAAAAATGTAGCCATTCTCTATGTTACGGCTAAATCTAATTTTAGTTTCTGTTGTCTGCAAACAAATAATCACTGCAGCAAGTTAAAATGCATACTAACCTGTTTCCTCAAAAATAAGACCTAACCTGAAAATAAGCCCTAGTATGAATTTTCAGGATGCTTCTAATATAAGGCAATACCCCAAAATAAGCCCCAATTAAGTGAAACCCCGCCCTTCACCATTGTGCAGCAACCATTAGAAGATGACATGACCATACTTGAATAAATGTAGATTGTTGTATATGAAAAAAATAAAACATCCCCTGAAAATAAGCCCTAATGCATTTTTGGAGCAAAAATTAATATAAGACCCTGTCTTATTTTTGGGGAAACACAGTAGTTAAAGAAATATTAATTTCAACATGGAAATATGAGCTGCAGAATTGCTGGAAATTCTGAAAATTGCTGGAAATATAGACAAAACAGAGGGAAAAATAATTTGGGGAAAATTGAAATATATGTTAAGTAGGCTGTAGACCTGCAGCTTAGTGGCAAGTGAGGCAGGGGCCTTCTGAAGAAAGACCAGAAGAGTCTCCACTGTGCCTCCTTGACGGGGTCCTTTCAAGCTCTGCAGTTCTAAAAGCTTGATGATGAGTTCTCTGAACTTTTGGTAACTTCAGCCACACTAAGATTCAAATGTCAAAGAAACTTACTAGGCTGTAAATACCACTGAACACAGTAAGCACATGTAACATAGGAGTGGAGCACTTGGCCTAGCAACTGTATTGCACTTCAACTCCCAAAAGTCAAACCACAATCTCTTAAAGGCAAGGAATCATGAGGATTATGATCCAATACAACTGTAGAAGCAGACATTCCCATCTTATATATACGAACTATACAATAACCACTTCTTTATGGTGAAGCTAAAAGGAAATGACAATCTGCACATAAATGAAAGTTTCTTTAAATATTTTAAGCACTTATATTAATTTTTTGATAAGTAGGCCCCCAAAGATTTGTTTACATAATCAGTTTCCTCCGTTGTTCAGATGTGCATTTAGTTAAAGTTTTTTTTTTTCTAAAACTATCTAAGGAACAAAATGGACACTCTATATCTTGCATAGCAACTAGCAAAGTGGATCCTCCAGCTAAGGATAATACTGCAGTTTTTTCATTGAAGCTAGAAATAAGACCCTGTATTTTGAAAGGCCAAGATCATATACCAAGAAAATGATTGTACTCACCCAGTATCTCCTAATCCGTGAAGAAATATAACCTAGAAAATAACAACGCAAAAATGAAACTGCTACTTTAGTAAATCTGATCTCCATACAGCCAACCACACTAAAAGCAGCTCATTTGACCAGATTTGTATCAACAAGGGGATACAAAAGTATTAACTCACAAAAGTATTAAACCCTATTACAGTATAGCTCCACCATCAATAACATTACAAAGTACTGTAAAGAATTACATTTTGGGTGCACACAATTGTTTCATGAGCCTAATGCCCCCCAAAAATATTCAGGGTTAGTTTTATAAGTCTACTATTAAGAGGTCCATTAAAAATTATCCCACATCTCATATTTATGCTATCAGTCAGGTAGTTGCTCTGATTAAAATATTTTCACCCCAACTTTCTTTTCAAAAAAGACCCAAGGCACTTACATCATTAAAAAGGTGTTTAAAACTAAAAACAGTAAGTGTACAAATATTTTAAAAGGATCAAACAACTACCACATTAAAAATGGTAAACACAAGCAACACATACAAAGCAGTAAGGCACAACAATCCTTTTAAAAACCCCACTCAATCAGCCAGACTCTAAAGGAAAACCTGCTTGAAGAGAAAGGTCCTCGCCTAGTTGCAGAAGGACAGCAAAGATGGGGCCAGCCAATGTTGGGGAGCAACAACCGAGAAGGTCCTCTCCCATGTCCCCACTAAATGTACCAGTGAAGATGGTGGGACATGGAAAAGCCTTTGCTGATTATCATTAACACCCAAGCAGACTCATAAAGGGAGACACAGTCCTTGAGACAGCTTGGAATCAAGCTGTTTAAGGCTTTACAGATCTGAATTGACCCCGGAAACATATCACTGTGACCTGCCCCAGTTACTGTATATAACTGATACTGAAATAATATGTTTAGCTCCAATTCCCATTATTGCAGATTTTGATGCAAGTACAGTATTGGCATTCAGTTTTGAAAAGAAACAACTTAGAGGTGATGCAATATTTTATCACAACCACATCGTTCAATCCATGAAAACGTGAACATGCACTGCTTTCTCTAAGCCCTTTCAACAATTCATCAACTTCCAACACTTAGTTGTGATTCAATTTCTACTTAAGCACCACCTGTCCCGCCAGGATGTAACACCAGTGAGAGACACCAGTTGGATCCTGCTCATTTGAGCTGCACAATCAAAAAGCAAAGAAACCACACAAATGGATCCCTGGTCCCTGTTCTTAGCACAAAGGTAAACGTCTCACAGGAAAAGTCTTTGGTCCCTTCAAGTATAAGTACACTTGTAAAACCAGAGTTCAAACTTTAGGTGGGAGAGAAGGGGAGTCTGGAAAGGGCAGGCATTTCAGTTCTGGTTGTCTTCTGTTCTAGGATGTCTGGCTTCTCCTACAAGAAGTGTGAGTTAGCCCAGATATAAAGAGAAATGCCCCATTTGAGCAAAGCAAAATGGGAAGGAGAAGGCACGACCTTACCACGGAGGAGGGCGCCGAGCAGCCTTCCAGGACCAGGCCAATGACCAAGGCAAGAGGCGCCTACATGCCCTGGCGGGCCTAGGCGAAAGGGCCTTACAGCACGTATTCCCCCTTCACAACACGTTCATTCAGAAGCGAAGTCACGCGCTGGGTTCAGCGGGCCTTACTCCTCAGGAGACCCCTCCGAGGCTGGCAGGCAAGGCCACTCAGGAATCCACCCCCACCGCCGCTGCCACATCTTCCCCTCTTCTCCTCCCCGCCCCCGTCCCTCAGACGAGGCCTTCCCGGCACCGCTCTCCGGCTCCTCCGCCCCACTCACCGCAGCAGTGGCTTTCCTGGCGGCCGGGACGATAGCTGGGAGCGGAGCGGACATAATGTTGCCGCACATGCACTGGCCTCTCTGCCCTCAGTGGCCGGGGAGGAACCGACAGCTCGGGAGGCGGCCGCCGAGGGTGGAGAAACGGGCGGGGCGGGGAACGTATTGGAAGGAGGACCGCTGAGGGGGCGGAAGCTGCTCAACCCCTCCTCCTCCAGCAGCGCCCCCGCCCCGGCGCCGGGCGTCCTAGAAGGCGGGCTCCCGCTCGGCCCCGCCCACGGCGGCATTGACGTCTCCCTCTCACAGGAAGCTTCTCCAGACGCCGCTGCACTTCAACTCCCGTCATCCCTCAGCATTGGCTGCGTGAGCTTGGGCTGATGGGAGTTGCTGTCCAGCAACTGTGTGGAAGCTCCTTCGTTGTTTTTCGTTGTTTTACGCGCTTTCCGGCCTGGGTAGGCCGTTCCTGTTCGGGTTAAGGGGAATTTTAGGTTAGGTCGAGGTTGAGTTTTTAAACTGGGCCGCCAGGTTATTTTTGATGTTCTCTTTTATTTCTATGTTTAAAGCCAAACTTTCAGAGGTAAAGTTAAAAGTATCAGGAAGGGGAGAAAAAAAGTGGAGGGTACAGTGCTAATCTTATGCAGGACCAAGTGATACTTTTAATTGACCATTAGGAATATGATAGGGAAGAGATTCAGCATCTAGCAAAACAAAAAACTTCAAGTGATAAATCATCCTCATCACGATTGTGCATTGCATTCTTATGGGTAGTTCCAAACTTGTTTGCTGTTTTTAATGTCTCAGATTCACATGGCTGATGAAGGAGGAGGCCAAGTTCACTTCTTCGATGGAGATCATGCAGCATGCAAGTTGGTTTCAAGCGCCTCCTCAGCTAGCAGTTTTTCCTGAATTGTAATCTTACATGCAGTTCAGCCTGGTTTGCTGACGTAGGTATTCATCGGGGTCTCTGATGAATTTTCGTACACAACCGAAAATGTACCTATGGGAGAGAGATGTTGAAATGGCTTTACCGCTATTAATCAGGACATTTCCCACTTGCTGTCCAGAAAATGAGATGCATCACTCCCCCCGTGCATAACAGTGTCTGCAGCTGCCTTGAGGAGACAATGGACAAATGAAGTCTTATGTGATGAGGAGATAGCAGTCTGCCTTTCTCCAAAGCAGCAGCAAAGAATTCTTAATTTATTGCACACGAAACGTTAATGTAAATAGTTAAGAATTGTTTAAATAACCAGTATTACAGGGGCAAATGTAGTCTATTTTCTTGCCCAATACGTTGAAAGACAGAGTAGTTTATAACAATCCTGGAATATAACCCCGTTTTTATTTCCAGTGTTGCGATTGTGTGACGAACAAAAGTCTCATGGCACTGTTAAAAACTAACAGCTTTATTGCAATCGTTTGCAAGGAATGTTAGTCTAAAATTTCACAAGAATTTTGGTATTACTTTCGTTTTGGTTTTTGTCGGCATTTGGGAGGGTTTGGAGTTTATTGATACCTGTACTGTATAGGTTTAACATAGCTTGACTTTAAGATCTCTCATATGGGTTTATTGGAACAACATCGCATACTGGAGGTCTTTATTGCAACACCTCTTAAGAAAGAGGCAATAGAAAAGAATGCGTCGAGGGACAGAGTTATTCCAGATGAAAGTCTTTTTGTTAACTGTGCTTGTTTGTTTGCTACCGTGCAGTAAACGGTAAGGTATACAAAACATTTCGCGGTTTGCACCATAGCAGCTATGACCTCCCAAAGCTCTTGTGGTTAAATGCCCTCCTCAGGTTTTGCAAACTCAAGGGCGTGGTTTCCTTCATTAAGTAGTCAAATCATCCGTTATGTGGTCTTCCTCTTCTCCCGTTGCCATGATCTTTCCCTAGCGTGATTGTCTCTTTCCCAAAGAGTCCCCACTGTCAAATTCAAATCTTGCGCCAGTTGAACGTAGACTTCTGGGATCGTTTTTTGCGCTCAGGGTCATTGGCCTTGCACCGTCCTTCATGCTGCAATCCTAGGGTTCTTTATTTCCTTGGAAGGAGGCGCCTCCGATCTCAATTGGACTTGCTTTTCAATAGGCGTGAACTTCTATATAATCCTGAAACCAAGCGGGTCGGATCGGTCTACATTTTTCTCTCTCTAGGGGAAGTACGTTACCAATTCTGCGCCTGCGCAGAGGCAGCTAATCTGACAGCTTCCTCTTCGTCTATTGCTCGGAGGGAAGTGATCAATGGCGGCGGCCTCGGGAGCTGCAGGAGGGGGCAGGGGCAGGGCATTGGAGACGCTGCGGACCCTGCCCCGGGTCAGCCTCGCCAACCTACGACCCAACGATGGCGCCCGGCAGCCGGTGAGTTGTCGGAGGCTGGCTCCTTGTAGAGTGGCTGCGGCGTAAGCCGCTTGGGTCTGGAAATCGTGGGACCAGGTGGTCCCACAGCATATCAGACCCTCTCCGAGATCCAATTTAGGGCTTAATTTCTTTAACGTTTCCACTTTCTGAGCCCTTTCCAAAGGGTGCCTGAACCTGTGGAGGTAACATGGCTGGCAGAAATTCATCAGGTGCTGTTTTCCCACTTCATACTTAATGAGTATTAAAGGGCACCAGCGCTTGGATTTCTGTTCGTGTGGGTAGTTGATAAAGTTGTAAAAGAGTTGCGAATTCCAGGCTTATTTCCCACAATTGACTAATAATAGTAATTGTGTGGTGTCCAGTCAGTTCTGACATAGCAATCCTTTTTCAGGGTCCTCTAGGTAGAGAGTACTCGGAAGTGGTTTACCATTCCTTTCTGGGGGTACACTGAGATTTTGCAGCTTGGCCAAGGCCACATCGGTTGGCTCTTCTGGGAAATACAGTGGGGAATAACTCCTGACCTCTGGTTCCACAGATGCCTAATTCACAAAGACTTCCCTTTATTAAATTTCATTTCTGTGTGCAAATTTTGCGTTGTATCTTTTTTGACTATGCATTATTTCTTGCATATGGCCTGTATATGTATCACTATGTGTGTGCATACTCATGCTTGCATCCATATACAGTTGGCTACAAACATTTGAGAATATGGCTGTGTCCCCTCACAATGCTAAACTTCGCTAGTGTGAATGAGCTGCATGCTAGAGCATGGAGCCTGTACACTCTTACCTCTGCCCTTCTGCTTGGCAAATGGATAGATAAAATGATTTGTTGTGCATCATGGCTGAACTCAGGATCATGAATTGTTACTCCTAAACAAGCCAAGGTTTGTTGTTGATTTACACACTCTGGCATATTTGGGAGCAACAAAAGGGGATTCATGCATTTGGCTGTAACTTGCCACAAACAATTTGGGGCTGTTGTTTCCATTCAGTTGAGTGGTAAAAGCAAAGAATTTTAAATAGGTTGCATGCACTAATATGCAGGTAATTCTCAGTAATTTTAGAGATATTGGTTTATCATTCTGGTTTATGTGGCTTCTGTCCCGTAGTTTTATATACGTAGTTGATGGAAGCGTCCTATGTTGCTTTTGATACAGTTCTTTATGTGTTTACTCAGAGGCCAGTCCAGCTGTATTTGGCAGCATATACTTCCAAATCAATGTCTATTAAACAGTGTGTGCTTTAAACGGGTGCCTGTAGTACAGAACAATTTCTTTTCTTAATTGGACTGAATTTCTCTTATGTAACAAACTGATTATTGATTTTAGGAGAAAAGACGTGGCCGTGGAAGGTATGGAGGTAAAAAAAGTGGACGCGGTCATAAAGGAGAAAGACAGAGAGGGACCCGCCCACGATTAGGATTTGAAGGTGGCCAGACTCCATTTTATCTGGTTATTCCAAAATATGGCTACAATGAAAATCACAGGTAAGTCTGCTTCCTTATGGCTTGTAAAATAAAATAAAAAATCTATAGTAAACATTAGTCTTAACCATGCCTAAATATCTGTTCTATTTTTGATCCATGAGTCACATTGCAATTTTTGAATTACCTTGTTGGCTACAGATTTATAAAAGCTTGTACAAACATGATTTTATACAAAAATACAGCACTGAAGAGTATGAAGTGCATTTATTTGCAAAGTTATCCTCATGCCAGTATATGCAAATACCAAGAATCATGGTTTACAATTTGTTCAGATAAATAGAACCCAAACCCCAGAAGAACATGGCACATGATAAATAAAGTAAAAAGTGATAATAAGCCCAGCATCAGACAGAATAGGAAACCTTTTGTTAACTGCTCATTAATTTAATTATTGAATTGCTCAACACATTTTGGAATTATTAATCATTACCATTATCAAAATCATAGATAGCATACCTGGTGAACAAAGCCAATAAATTGATTTGAAAAATAGCAAAGGAGAGGGAGTGAGGGGTTGCTTTTGTAGCATTTTTCTAACTGCATTTGATTGTTTTCTCTGTCAGGAATGCAGAAAGATTCTCTATGTTTCGAACCTTTCTCAGCTCCTGAAGGCAGAGTTCATGAGTTATTGGCTCCTTGAGGAACTGAAAATAACACTAAAACACTTTGAGTAATTAATAAGGCATCATTAACAATTTCCTAACAATCATCAACCTGAAGTCGTCAACCAGAGGCTGGGCCTTCTCAGCAGTGGCCACCCCACTCTGGAACGCTCTCCCTGTGGAGGTGCAGTCGGCCCCCACCATCCTGAGCTTCCGTAAACAAGTGAAAACCTGGCTTTTTACCCAGGCCTTTGTAGACCTTATCCCTCTGTAATACTAATTTTGGTTCACCAAATGAGTTTTTGTTTTTATATGTTCATTTTTTAAAAAAATTTGTGCATGGTATATTTTTATTATTTCCTTGAAGCCACCCAGAGTAGTAGGTGGGGTATAGATTTAAATAAACAAATAAATAAATAAATCCATATTGAAATTTTAGGCTTTCTAAGGAGAGGTTAATACTTCCATTTTGTTGTGTGTGAGTATATGTAACTATTGTACCTACAGATTTTTGAGAAAAACAGAAAATTGTAACTGGGTAAAACTGGGTTAACTTTAGAATTTTTAGCTTGGAGATGGTTGTCATATGGCAGAAACAGATGCACTTCCTTTTTGGATGGATGGAGGAGGATTAGTAGACTCCTTTTTCACTTCATGTAGTGTTTGGTCAAATTATTATACTGTTCTGAAATCCTGAATCAGCCTTATGCAAACAGATACAAGGAATAATTTGACATTCTTCCTCCTTCAACAGCTGTAGAAGACAAGTTTATGTATTGCTTTCAGCAGTGAGACCTCGTTTAATGTTATTCTACAACTAGATTCTTTGCTTCCTTGTGCAAAGAAAGGAGGTCAGTTGGCAGCACGAGGTACTGTCTTGTACCGCTAAACTGGAGGGACACTGACAGTTCTGTTAACAAGAGCTTAAAATCAGATATGTAGCCTCCTATAAAGGAAGAAACATGATGTAAATTCACTGGGTTGAACATAAGTATTCAAGAAGTATTTTGCATAAGCAAGCCAGTTTTTATACATACAAGAAGGTGCATGAAGTTTGTTTCCCATGCCATGCAGCACAAGCAGTATTTCCTTTGCGTTTCACCACAGAGTTTGAAAAAGTATAGGGCAGATTTCCATGACGAAAATCTTGAACTCTCACACAATCTGGTGCTTTGACAACTAGGAGTTGTAGAGAAGAAATGTTCTGTTGAATTTCATCCTTGGTGTTCTGAACGTTTGTTTTCTTTTCATTCATTGTTTCTACAGCTTGAGGCGTCAGTATCCACCCCTCACTCTCAGAAGGCTACAGTACTTGATTGACTTAGGTAGAGTTGACCCTACACAACCCATTGATTTAACACAATTGACAAATGCCAGAGGTGTACTGATGCAGGTATCTAAAAGACATTATGGCATCAATCTCGTGGAGGAGGTAAGTCTTTATTTATGGCATTTTGATTAATAATAATAATTTTTCAAAGTCATTGTTTAGAAATGTATATTTTACACCTGAATCCACCAGAGGGCAGTACTCATTGTGAGAGTGTTTCATTTTACAGTACTGTATACTTGTTAGGCAAGACTTAATACGTTATTTCTGTGCAAAAGTGCATCTGGAAAGGTTAAGCATTTTATATTATAGTTTGGTAAGTGAGAAATTGCTTGGGCAAAATTGCTGATGCCATCAGTCTTATTCGAAAATTTCTGGAAAGTACCATAGAATTTCCAAAAACGATTGCAACTATGTAATATTAAGTGGATGAGTGGTATTAAAGTATTTTCACTGGGCAGACTCCAAAAATATACGTGTATCGGACTTTTGAACAACTGTCCCTGTCCCTGCATTTTATTATTTGCATATTTTAGGATTGTAGCATCTGGAGTACAATAAAAGCAATAGAAAACAATTCAATAATTTTAAACCATTTAAAATATTAAAAACAACTTGAACATTGAAACCAATGAAAATAAAGAAGTCTCAATAGCCTATTAAAGCCATGATCTTTAATCCAAAAAAAAAAAAAACCTTGGTGGATAACCATCTTTTAATTTGGTGCCAAAATTAGATTGGTGTCAGGGCCAATCAAACCTCAAAGTGAAGGGTATCCCATAAATGAAATGGTATAACTGAAAAAGCCCTCCTTTAGGTCTCCACATAGTGGATTGTTCTCCAGAAGAAGATGGAGTACCCCACCCATGGGCTGATCTTGTCCCTGTCCAAGAACGATTGTAGCCATGGGTAATTGAATATGGCCCCAGGCACTTTGAACCACTCTGCTTACTTGAGACATAAATAATAAAGATGGGTCAAGGAGTACCCCAAACTATGTACCTGCTCCTTCACTAGGAACAAGTCATCTACCTAACTTCCAGACATGGGAGCCATGGAGCTTCCATTTTGTTGGGATTCAGCTTCAGTTTCTTGGTCCTCATTCAGGCCATTACAGCCTCCAAACAGTGATTCAGCAGATGCTCAGACTCAGTCAACTCCATTATTGAGGCGTAGAGCTGGCTGTCTTCTAGCAGATGCTCAGACTCAGTCAACTCCATTAATAAGGAGATGTAGAGCTGGCTGTCTTCTGTTGTTCTTCTTGTGATCTAACTACTGTTTGTCTGTACTTACAGGGAGCTGATCACTTTGCAGCAAAAATAAATATTGAAGTACAGATTGCATCTGAACTAGCCATTGCTGCTATTGAAAGAAATGGTGGAGTTGTCACAACAGCTTTCTATGATCCAAGGAGTTTGGGTAAGAAATCTCACTATCATTGTGCCAAAATATAAGAATAGTCTGTGGTATATTGAGTGGCATCACTAACTCATTCTAAGGTATAAAGTTTGTTCTTTCTTGTGGAAAAAAAGGAAAGGTTCTGTGCTGAATTTAAAGTTTACAGACTTCTTGTTGAGGTCAGGAAGTAAATGAGGAATTTTGTGTGGACAGGCAGGCTGACATATTGCATTGCTTTGTCCTAAGGAGCAGACTTAGAAGGTTCTTTTTATACCCTGTAATGATAGCTGATAAATAGCAATGAAGAATACTGTAGTTAGTATCCAAGGACCCTATCCTGATCATGGAGCCAACAGCGCATGCAAAGTCCCATTGCCATTCCTCTAAGTGAACATGAACAACTTTGCCTTCTGTATGCTTTTGGCCTACAATTTCCATCATCTCTAGCTAGTAGGGGATTATGGGAGTTGTAGTTAAAAATGTGGAAGGCCGCAGTTGCCCATCCTTACATTAAAATGGCATGTCTCTTAGCTTTATGTTAATGGGAGTGGGAGAGAAGGCATTACTTAAGGTAACGTGAAGTTGCTTATTTAGGATAATAAAAATGAAAACCAGCAACCTGAAATTATCTCAGAAATAAATAGGTAGCAACTTACGATTATTTAGACAAAGTCTTATGTGAACTGTATTATAAAATCTATACAAACAAGTTTCATGAAAGCTGTTCACAAAAGTAGTACTGAGTACAGCAAGCTCTGGTAATCAAACTGAGAGGTTGCTAGGACAAGCAAGATGGCAATTTCACTTCTTCCTCTGCAGCCAGCATTTTTAAAAAATGCAACACTTGGGTCACAGGAATCCAAGAGCAATGCTGCAGTGGCCAGATCCCTGGCTATGAATCTGTTCTTTTAAGAGGGAGGATGACCCTGCCCAGCAGGTATTGTCCATGACCAGATCGACTGGCCTGTTTTGTCTAGATGGAGTTTTGGTTTGTTCATTTTCATCCAGTCTATTCCTGACATTATGCAGTTTGTCCAGTTCTGTTGTAGAAAACAAAGGATACCAACTTAGTGTTCTTTATGCTTGAGGGACTTCATGTCCTTTAATAGCTGTTGACACATGCTAATTAAATGGGCCAATTTGTTATCCTGTAAAAGATCACAAAGATAATGGCACCTAAAAAATTAAGGGTATCCCCTGTCCATTATTTTACATGTCAGTTTTCTAGTTTTCCCAGTTGCAAATATAATCGGCAGTAAAAAGTGTTTGAACTTGTTAAAAAGAGCACAATATTAAAAACGTCTTTATACAATATGCCAGTGTGCCCAAGATAGGATTTCTAATGCCAGAGTAGCTAATTCTATATCTTTGTCCCACTGTTTTGCACATAGAAATCCTCTGCAAGCCCGTGCCATTTTTTCAACGAGGCCAGCCTATTCCAAAACGAATGCTCCCACCAGAAGAGCTTGTCCGTTACTATACAGATCCTAAGAACCGTGGGTACTTGGCTGATCCGTCAAAGGTTGCAGAAGCAAGGCTGGAACTTGCTAAAAAGTATGGTTATGTCCTGCCAGACATTACAAGAGATGAACTTTTCCAAATGCTGAGCTCACGGAAAGACCCCAGGCAGATCTTCTTTGGTCTTGCTCCAGGCTGGGTTGTAAACATGGCAGAAAAGAAAATTCTGAAGCCTACTGATGAGAGGTTGCTGAAATATTACAGCTCGTGAATACTTAGATTGGAAGCATTTACCTCTTGGTTATTACAGAAATGCACATTATAATTACTTGCTAGAAAATAAATGCGTATAAAATGTCAAAATGCTGAGTTTGTGCGTCTCTTTTACTCCTTGATATTTAAATTTTTCTTTATGTGAGAAGCGATGGATCAATCTGATTAATCTTCCAGTTTTAGGTTTCTCTTATATGCCTCTACTAAACACAACATGACTCCTGTATTCGTGGAATTGATATCTGATTTTAGTTATCTGTGATTTACCACAGCCCAATATACAACATGCAAGGGGTGGGCCTTGTGGCCTTTATCCTGCCTTCATGTATGCTGTGTATAGTGTTTGCTACTATCCACAGTTTCAAGCATTTATTTATTTATTTATTTAT